AGCACAATCTCATCATGATAGACTAAAAAAGACCTTGAATAAGTTACGGAATTATATGAACTAAATAGTTGCACTTTTCGCTTTAAACTAGGGACACATGTTATGGAGAAAGGAAAAAGATACACTTATCAGAGGTAAAAAGAGGCACTTATTAGAAAGGGAAGGGGCAATTGTCAAAGTAAAAAGGGCATCTCTTATATTTGAATAGGGCAATTATCAAAGATATACGAATGCATAACGGGCACCTACCAGAAAGGTAGTGCGCTACTTCTGGTTATATTAACATGTGCCTAGAACCGTCGTGTGGTCTTAATTTTCTTTGCAGTTGTACTAATAATGAGAGGAACTTGCAGAGATTCCACAGTGAAGTGATCTGACCCGCCACGATATGTCATATTGCAAGCGTAGAGTTATTTCCCACGGGAGTGTTATGGCTCTCTGTAATTAGTTTGAGATTCGGCTGCTAGAGCAAGCAACAACACTGGTCTAATTAATACGACACCATTTTCATGTCCATATGACTGTATGGATCTGATTACACGAGTATTATGTTGTGCAGGGGCAGATCCTACATTATTTACAAAGGGGCAGGGCGAAATTTATCAAAAATATAATTTTCTATATAAAAAATATGGGAGTATGATTTCGCTTAACTTTCCCGTTTGGTGGGTGTAGCCCCGTCCAAATATTAGTGCATCATTAACTTTTTAAAGATAATTTAGTACCTTCGTGACGAGGGGTTCTATAGCTTAAATGCTTCCCAGTGGAATAGAGAGTGTGCGCGGCATGTGCAGAATACTAATTTAATTGAAAAGCCTATTCTACAGTGTAATATGAATGCAAACATTTTATTTATCGTAATCATTATGGTCAGTATTGGTATTATTAACGCAACATACGAAAATTACATAAAAGGGGAAATTTGTTCATGTATTCATGTCTTCCCTTCTATTCTTGCTCTCTATCTTTCTTTCTCTCTCTCTCTCTCTTTCTCTGCCTTTTTCATCTTCTCCCTCTCTCTGTATCTATATTTCTAATTCTTTCTGCAGTGTGTCTATGTCTGTCTGTCTGGCTCGTTTTCTCTCTTTCTATGTATCTCTCCCCTCTCCCATTCTCTGACTGACACCCCCCCCCCACCTCCCCCGTCCCTATCTCTCTCTTTCTTTCATGTGCAAGAAAGAGAGAGAGAGAGAGGGGAGAATTATAGAGAATGAGAGGGTGGAAACAAGAAATAATTTCAATGAAAGGAGAATATCAATGTTTTGTTAAAGGTCCTTTAACAAAATCACATGATTATTCACTGACATGTAAATTAAAGCACTGCAGGTGATGGAAGTTGATTTAAAATATATTCACGAATCATGCTCCGAATACAGTATTATCTACCAAATGCAAACAATCGACTGAAACATGCATTGTATCCAAGGGCAGGAAGATCTATAAGCCACTACCGCTATATTAATAATTGATTTATTTTGCAGAAGTAAGGGCAGGTTTGGATTCAGTGGATGGGTATATTTCATATATTATACGGTGAAGATGGAATACGCTTTCCCTGTTTGATCCGACCCCACCCCCCCCCAAAAAAAAAAAATCATATACAATTTGCAGTTAGTCATGCGGGGCACCCCCAATACATTACCCCCCCCCCCCCAAATATACATTAACCCCCCCCCCCCCTCCGGATTACAATATTCCAACCCCCGTTAATTAATTTCTTGATACGCCACACTGGATTTATGAAGTGTGTGTGACTGCATGTTGGGGAAGAATAACAGCCTTTGCGTTGCTTTAAAAGGACAGTCAAGACAGGTGCTGATAGGCCAACGGTGAGACGTTATGCTACGGTCACAAAGGTTCGTACGAACGATAATTTCGTACGAATCTCCCTGTTTTTCCATTGTCTTCCCGAATTTCCATTGTCTGAAAATCGTTCGTAGGGCGTTCGTAGCAGTTCGTGATGACATTTGTGACCGAGGCAATTTACATGAACATTACAAGGAGTACAATTATTGTATTTTAGATATTTTAGGGTGCTTTGTGACCGTAGCATTAGTTTAGTATCTATCAATTTTCGAAGATAAGGGCGGAGGGGGCATTGCAAACGTATGGTATGTTTAATATGACACACTTAAGAGATAGATAATGTTCAGACATAGAATTTCGAGTATACATTTTGATGGTAGGTACAACTGAGTTCCATACATACCTACATACCTAGATGTAGATATTGACAAAAAGGTAATCGAGAAAAGGTAGTTGGAGTCGATTCAGAGCAAATTTAGTTGAAAGTCATTTTATTCGATTTAGTAAAAAATTATTATCAACATTATTATTATTATTACTATTATTATTATTATTATTATTATTATTATTATTATTATTATTATTATTATTTATTATTATTATTATTATTATTATTATTATTATTATTATTATTATTATTATTATTATTATTATTATTATTATTGTTATTATTATTATTATTATTATTATTATCATCATCATTATTATTATTTTGTATTAATATTGTTATCATTACGTATTCACACCAGTTATAAGCAGACTCAATAACGATACCACAATTATATAACACACTTATATTGCACCATAATTAGATAATTGCTAGGCGCATTTATGAAATTAAGAAAGAAAGGCAAGGAAGGAGAATTATGTTGGTAAATTTCGTATTATATAGAAGGGACATTGGAAAACCCAAATGCTGAAATATTTTCTGATATCTCATGTCACGGACATAAATGTGGGATAACATTTTTGTGGGAGCATGGTTAGATATCAGAGGTCAGAAGTGATGATATTTGAATTGCATTAGAGTGGGGTGGAGAATGTGCAGTATACGTGGAGAGGTGGAGAGACGCAATAAATAATATTGAATCCAATTAGCGGGCTAATATACACTATATACACTAAGCGCTTTGATCAGTTATATGATTATAAAGGCGTTATAGAAAAACAGTTATTAGTTTGTTGTTATTATCATAAGGTCTGTTCACACATGGCATTATTTACAGCTATGTGAACGGGTCTATGGTGGGATGAGGATTTTCAGTAACATTGCCATTCAGAAATGTAGAGATATTAGTCACATTATATACACTTCTGGTGTGTCTGTCCTCTCTTCATTAATTTTGGTGCCACTTGGTAAGTTTTAAAACATATCTGAATAGACATTTTAAAATAATTTTTACAAAAACTGAAATATTTTTGAACGGCATATTAAGTACGTAAATGCCTTTGGACTCGAACTCACTTTATTTGAAGACATTTCGACAACTTTCGCGCATGTTATCACACGAAAAGGAATATTTATACATCTTTATAAACTTAGTGAATACAAAAATGAAATCAACTGTAATTAAAATACATCAAGCTAATTGGCTCAGGTTTGTTTAATTAGTGATCATTAAAAAGTATGATGTCAATCAAAACATTTGCGTTTAGCCCCTCCTGTCTGTCCCTCTTGTTCTCTCTCTCTCTCTCTCCCCCCCACCCCTCTCTCTCCCTTTTTTTTTTTCTCTCTCTCTCTCTCTCTCTCTCTCGCCTTTTTTATGTCATGAAAGAAAAGTCATCTACATGTATCATTCTCATGGTACATGTACATGTTTTGACCCTTTTCCTGTCAAAGTGTTTTGTAATTTGATTTCTTCAGACTGAAATTGATGATCACGCTTTATCCAAACTATCTGATAAATGTTCAGCAACCATACTGTGAACAAGATCATTGATACCGAAATAAAAGAGGAAATGTTTGTTTCGTCAGCCAAGTAAATGTGTTTATATTACGAAAGTCTTGAAGAATGAATAATATATAGAGTAAGACCAATGATAGAGGCAATCTACCAATGCGTCGCCAATGCGAAGTATTCCAGGGACATCCATATACCATGCCAATTAATATCACCATCCCTTATTGTGCTCACCCTAGTATATAAGGCCATAGCTGTCTAAAATAATTTTATTCAGTCATCCATTACATTAAATGTTCAACAGAAGGCAATGTACAGCTGACATTTGTCCATTTATTACGCAATATAGTTATCTCAAGTATCTATGAGCTCATTATTTTGTTATTGGGTAAAGGGGTGCTTTGTGTATCCATTTTTGTTTTGGTTGCGCGTAAAAATGTTCATATTGATCTCCATTTTATTTCTGCATTGTGTCCCCTTGCTCCCCTACTAGCTACTGCCCCTCATCATGGTGATAGGAATTAGAAAATGGAAATGTAGGTAAAAAGGGCACTTATCAAAGAGGAGTTATAAATGGGGGAGGCAAGGGACAAAAGTGGACACAAACGTAACAATCATCATTCATATTTGAATGGGGCAATTTTTAGAAAGGAAAAGTGGCACTTATAAAAAAGGAAAATGGGCAATTATCAGAGTTGAAAGGGGCACTTATCAGAAGGAGAAAATTCAATTATTACAAAGGAAAGGGGGCTTTTGCCAAAGTAAAAGGATTTTGATATATGGGGGCACTTATATCATACGTGAAAAGTAGCATTTATTAGAACGGGGAAGGCTTACTAATTACAAATGTAAGAGGTGCACCTATGGGAAGAGAAAGGACGCTCATTAGAAAAAAAGTGCGAGTCAAAGTTAAAGTAATACTTATAGGAAGTGAAAAAAGCACTAATAAAATTTGGAGTAGATTATTAGGCTATTATTATATTATATATTATTATATATTAGAAAGAAAAAAGTGCACTTATCTGAAGTAAATATAGACGCATTTCGTACGTAAAAAGTGGTACTATTGGGATACTTGAAAAGATGTGGGGGCACTGTTTACCTCTTTCATGCCCCTCACCCCTCTGTCCTCCCTCTTATAAACAAAAGTAGTTGCTATCGGTTCGAGTTGGACGCAATAATTATTCAGACAGGGTTAGATATATTTACACAATAACATTCGAAACAACATTAGATTCCAAATTCCAACAGTAATGATAATGTTGCCTTTGTATTATTTTCATCTCCTTTCAGACTGTGCCTTACTATGTTCTCTACAGCTTTATCTATTGGGCTCATTCCATTCTGGTTCTCCTTCTACTCAAGTGCATGGTCAAATGCATATTACATCATAGGTACCTCCACTGAAATCTTATTCACCGAAGTCATCATCTTCCTACCAGTTGCACTAGGGTTGCTTTTCAAGAGACTGGCAGGGGAAAAGCGAGCGAAGAAAGTGGCCAAGGTAAGAATCAAATATTTTGTTTAAAGATTGATTATAAATTATTTTGTTTACCATTATGAAGCTTGGGTCTCTCTCTCTCTCTCTCTCTCTCTCTCTCTCTCTTTTAGTTTTAGTTTTAGTTTGGCTAGTGATGAAACGTCAATTTCATAAAACAGAAAATAGTCATGATTTCATGGGTTCTTTTGAGATGGGACTTCAAATGGTTCAGAATATAGACACATTGACCGCTATGAGAGGCATGGCTGTTTCCATACGCTCAAGGGGACGTTACATCCTGATATGACCACGAGGCACGCCGCGGCGTCTCCGAGAACCAGTAGAGAAACAGGTAGTCTCGAATATGAAAGCAGTCCATATATCTTTTATAAACCGAATTATATACTAGATTTATTCAACATATTAAAGAGAGGTATATAATAATGGATATTTAAATAAAAATGGGTTTGTGTTGTATATATTAATAATTTTTTGACCAATACTCCAACATGTAACTGTATGAAAATGAATCACTATACGTCAACTTCATTAAATGTCAAGTGTATTTTCCAGGAATAGTCGTCGTTCATTTGCACTTTTGTTAATGTTCTTTTCAGATTTGCAGCTTTGCTTTTGCAGTGACTGCTGTCGTCTGTCCCATCTTAAATGCCATAGACAACCCTAGTCACTATGTCGGTGCCTGGCAGCTCTGGGTAGGTGGCTGCCTCCTGCCCTTCGTCGGGTTTGTATGCGGGCTCATCCTCGCCTCGTTATTCAAGCTACCCTACGAGGCCTGCAGCGCAGTCTCACTGGCGGTCGGCACGCCCAATTGGTTCATCGCGACCGCTATAGCTTGGAACTGTTTCCAGCATGACGAGACAGCTCTCCACGAGGTACTCACACTCGTATCCATCTTCAGCATCTCGATGCCCATCGAGGGTTTCATCTGGTCCGTCACTTATTACGCCATCGAAGAGCTCATCCGTAAGATTTACCCCAAGATCGTCACGATGTTTGACGATCCCGATAGCGACTTTGAGGACGAATCGGTCGGAGGGGATGACGAAGAAAAGAGCGGGAAACCAGAGAGAGTGATGTATATACTCGGGCAAGTGCTGGACGATGATGAAGTATATTAACCATACATGTAAATAATGTGACCTCACCTCACTTAATAAATTGGGACGATATATACTCATTTTCAGAATGAAGGGGGGGGGGGAGCACAGCCAAAGATAATACACTCCATAATGATAGAATGAAGTTCATTCCGATTTGTTTTTTAGGGAGTAATTCGCTATCCCAAGTACAGACGCCTGCACGTACATTCTGCCTTAAAACGCTTCGAATCAGAACTGTAAATTTCATCATTGCAAGCAGTATTGGTGAAACCGGGGTCAAAGGGATCATTATCCCTCAGTTTCCCCAAAAGAATGAAAGTGCCCATGTGTTGAGAAAGTGCCCTTCCCATATAAACAAATGCCCCCTCCCCATGTGGGGTTCATTACCTCTTCCATGTGTCCTTGCTTTGTACTTTTTGGAAGAAAACAGTTGCCTTATGTATGAAAATGTAGATCCCAGTCTATTCCCTAATTGTGCTTTGTTTTGATTCACAGAAGAAAATGCCATTATATCCAAGCCGAAATCAGTAAAGACCAGTTCTATTCATGCGATTGCATTGTGAAAGAAACGCTGTGGAATCGTTAGATTTAATTGATTTTTCTTTAACACCATGCCTTAAAAAATCATTCCATCGTCAACATTTGCATGAAAATTGTTATCCTAAGAAGTGATTGGATGGTATGTTTTCCAGATCGTGGCAATGCACTCTGAAAAGACTAAAGAACTTTAAAAACTGATTATGTAAACAAACAAACAAACAAAATCCGACTAGTAACCTTTTTCAATGAGAAAACTCTGATAAAATAAATTAATAATGCAGCAGTGACTGTCTGCTAAAAAGTCTGTTCTCTTGCACATATCTGCAAGTGTAGGCAATCGGCTGCTGTTGAGCGGGAGCATAATGGTTTAGCATTGATTGAGATGGGTGGTTTTTTTTGGGGGGGGGGGTGGGGGGAGGGGTGCGCGTGAAGAAATTGCGGGTGCTGGAGCCCCCAACCCCGCTGTCGAACCACTGTTGAATAGTTATAAGCCCACGGTTCCTTCCGATGTATTAATTCACCATCTTGAAGTGAAATGGAAAATGATGGAATTAAATGGAAATTATGCACATGCTGTAGGGAAAAAAGAGTTACGTATTACATTTTTCATTTATTTCATCCCAAAATGGAAATTCACTCGATGTGACACTAATTGACTAATGATTTTTTTACGGTATGACTATGTAATAAAAAAAACAACACTTTTTCATAAATCAGTGTATAGTCTTTAGATTAAAATATATTGTTAGTCGTTATTTTGTATGTACCGGGATTGCCGTAAACCAGGGTTTTCTGGATGTTAGTGATTATGCTTGTATCGAGTCAATAATGTTATATATATTCTGAAGTATGTATTTTTCACGTGCTTTATTTAACATATATCATTACTATGGTGCTATAATTTTATGCAAAATAATGTACAGAGTACCGGGCAAAACTGAGTGAGACTTGAATGAGAGAAATTCGATGTTAATGTATAACATGCTATTTAATATAATTATAATATGATACATGGACATTATTAAATTAAAAGTGTCATTGGCTCGAAAGGGGGCAGTATGTGGTCAACCACATTTTTATTACAATTATGTCGAAAAGGTCTAATTAAACTCTCATTGTCTAAATATATAACAGGATCGCAAAGACTTTCGAAAAATCCACTTAATGGTTTTTCCAATACCCTCTTGTATTGTATATCCCACACAAATTATGTTCCGATTACGTCATTTTAACGTTGTAATATCTCAATCGGTGATTGCGATCGTGTTATATGCGTTTAATCATCAGTATTCGATTAAAATATACAAATATTCTGTTTTTGCGGAATGAAATAATTCGTGATTATAACTTTAAGGCAGGTAATTGAGCACGCTCTGTTGATACACAGGCTGATTTGCCGGTGTAAAATTAAAGGTGGTGGGGAGTCAGAGGGAAGGGGGGGTAGTGAGCACATTTTTTTTTTTTTGATCCTCAAAAAAATTTCAATTTGCACCCCCCCCCCCCCCTTGAGCGCCAGGGGGGGGGGGGGCCCAACCCCCCAAAAAGGTAAAAATCACGTGATTTTACATGATTTTTTTTCTCAAGGGGGGGGGGGGGGCCGGGCCCCCCCGGGCCCCCCCCCCCCCCTGGATCCGCCACTGGCTATGAATGTGTACATGTATCAACATTTTTCGGTGAAAAGTATAACTGCTAAGACAAACATTTATTCAATCATTTATTACCTCATTTTCTATCGATCTTACGAATTAATGTCCTGTATATGTCATTAATTATTCATAGAAGTTTCAATGTGTGTCAGAAGATGATCGAATTGTTTTATCACATGAGCACGATAAAGGTAAAAGTCTAATTCATTCCGCTTTGGGCTCCATTTATATAAAGAAAATGAATCCTAGTCATGGTAAAGAGCACATACGAGAAAACGGTGAAATCAATCCCAATCTATGTAATTTCATTTCAAGTTTTCTGCCTTCTTTCAATTTTGAGAACATAATAAATCTATATCCGCGGTCTTGATTTTTCACTTCTGAAGTTCAGAGTTTTCAAGTCAAGATCTCAATTAAACTGTTAGCTTTCCAATTACCCATTTAAACATGAAATAATCCATTTGGCCGACTACCGACAATTTTACTTTCATTGATCTAAGATTGAACACATATGTTCCTATGAATACACGCCAGTGGTGTAGCTACAGGGGGCACAGGGGCACGTGCCCATCCAATCGAAAAGTGAAGAAAAAACCGATAAATTTATTTTAAACCGATAAAGAGAGAAGAGAACGGAAAGAAAAGGAATGGAGAGGAAGAAGGGAGAAAGGAAGATTCATAGACCCCCTCCAGCACCCCCTACCTAATCAGTAGCATTGTAAAATCACAAATCATTTTCCAAAAAGACCGGTGCCCCCCCCCCCCCCTTAATATTCACTGTAATTACTCATGCTACGCCACTTGGATTTTAAAAAAAATGGAAGTGTTAGTAAACACTAATGGTAAATCAATAATGATAAATCACAATCAATTTTAGCAACTGTCCACCAAAAAAAGTATATTCTAATCTCAATTGCATTAACTCCATCACATAGATCACTTGAAGTGAGTTTGAGAATTGAAATGCTGCAATACACTGGCAAAATCATACCCCCATCCCACTGAAGACAATGACAATTCTTTAATTCTTTCATTACTCCTGTCGACAACATGGAAATTAATAGTATTTTCTACTAGTAGATACTATGTTAGGGAGTGTGCAAATGAAAGTTGTGGCAGCAGAGATTATTTCGAACACATAACAAAAATCTATATGCATGGAGCAATCATTTAGCCTTTATCAGTGTGCTTCCTAAATGTTAGCACATAATGTACATGTACATGTAGCTGTATAACAGAAGCTGGAAGATTTTTTATATTACTACGTATGGTAATATGTTGTGATTATAAATTATATTTTCTTTGTAAATACACATGTATTTCTGGGATTATGCGAATTTTGATAAATGATAAACAATAAAATCATGGATGAAAACTTAACTTAGATCGAAAAGACGTCTAATTTGATAAGGGATTGAAAGAACGTTTGAGAGGAGAGGAAAGAGGGAGAGAGAGAGAGAGAGAGAAAGAGGGTGAGGGGCAGAGAAAAGGTGGGAGATGGAAGGAAGGGGATGGGGGGATCTCAAGTATTTGGTATTTAGTAGTCTGTTCTGCGATATCCTAGAAATCAATTACCCCACGAACATATCGATCCGTTCTCATGTTCCATCAGCCTTGCAAAGACGGTGGATTGGCCAACATTGTAACTCAATATTGCTGAAAATACTCTGCACTAATGAATTCACAGAGCATCTTATATGGATTGTGGATGCAGGGTGTAGAAATTAATTGGTGAGGCACCTGCATATCAAACATCAATTCTTCCTTCTGCATTTCTATTTCTTGCTGATGTGTTGTTGGTGTTTGTATGTACATGTATTAAGAGGGTAAGACTTGCATGTTGTACAGTTGGTTAGGCTGACAAAGGAATTTGATTGATTATTAAAATTATGGTTGTTCAGCCAAAATTAAAATCTTAAGTGTTATTAGGTGTTTCTGTTCCAGGATTAATAGATTTACCATCATTTTACAAGGTTTGTATGCAATTGATCCCTCCCCCATTCATAATTGGTCAATGAGACATACCCCTCTCCCATGCAATCAGTATCACAATCACTCTCATCTCTCTCTATTCTCTTACTGCTTTCCATTCAGTTCAAATGTGCCTCTTTCAGGGATGTTTATATTTCTCTTTCCTTTCTTTTTACATGTGAGTCTACTAATGAAAGAGAAAAGAAAAGAAAAATATCTCATTATCTCAACTAATCTGCATTCACACTTTCCAACATATTGGTCAAAGTTTTGGGTTACAACAGTTGGGTGAATAGATTTGACTGTTCTACACTATGAACATGACAGACAATGAAAGCGGACAAAATATACAGTTCCTCGGGTAAACAAAGGAACATCCCTTCACTGCTATTATGTAAAAATGTGTAGAACAGGTGAATATGCATGTGACATCTGTTCTACACATTTTTACATAATAGCAGTGAAGGGATGTCCCTTTGTTCACCTGAGGAACTGTATATTTTGTCCGCTTTCATTGTCTGTCATGTTCATAGTGCTAGGTGCCTAAACGTCAACTTTTCTGTTGCACTGTGCACCCAGACAATGGATAATTTTGCCCTCTGGGAGTGGGTAACAGTGTAAAGGGGATTCAAGAATTGTGTCCAAAAAGTGTACATGAACATGTAATGTCGAGATGAACTTCAATTTTCCTTTGGCACTTCCAAATCTTCACGCAGCAGTCTAACCGAACAAGCAAACATATTCCATACACTCATCGCATTCACATCAGTGGCCACAGGATGCAGACTGCTACATAAGAGTTTGTCCAACAGCCCCGTATCCATACATGAGCTAGCATGCTCAGAAGTCCATGGGGGTCAGTCTGGACGTTAAAGGGGATGTAATGAATTAATGAAATGCATCTGCAATGGCACCTGGGGGCAAATTTTTTTTGACAAACATTAGTTAGCCAGGGCATAAAATGTTAACATCCAATGTACTACCACATTTATGGAAAGTTTTTAAAGGAAATTCTCTTGCTTGCCATAACCACTATTATAAATTGAGAATGACAGATTTTCTCAATGAACTTTTCTATCTAATATAAAATGTATCTGTGTAAAGCAAATACCAGTGTTACACCAGCACTATGATAAATGAAGCACCTTGCATCATGAAAAAAGTCTAACACTATATATGAAATGAGATCAAAAAGCTAATTTGTGAACAAAAAACAATTCAAACAAATATGTTTCAAGTTATAATCACTCTTTAATCGTCTTTATAAACCGAGACCACATTTCTTAGATCAGTTTGCAACTGTCTTCTGATAATGGCAGTACTGCACCAACAGACTGTACACCGCACAAGGTATTTGGACCGCAGTAGAGTGCCAAGGGAATTATACAGGAAATATATCGGCTATACATATATAATATCGCACGCCATCTAGCCCCCCTCCCTGACTGAGCATTTCCCTACAAGAGTGAAGATTGATGTTACAAAACAACAATGTAAAGTAACTGTAACAAATGTGACAGCACAGAACACAATTCATTGAAGATGTTTTTCGAACAATTGCTGCCCATGCAGTCAACAGTCATGAAGCACTGCATGTCCAGAAAGTATTAATTTAAATATGTGGAGGACATCGGTGCATTGATTGGTCAACAAGGCTATGCCTCGGTAACATAACAGTTATTTTGGGAAAATCATATAATTTGTCTTGTCAATAACCAATGCTATAAAATTTACACAGAACTCGCAATCATTTCTTTTCAGAACATTCACTAGAACTCTCTCTCTTTGAAGACCAATCAAGCAGAATGTAATTCACAATATGGTCTCTAATATTTTATATACTTATGAAACAAATGGGCATGGCTGAACTGTGTACAACAAAGCTATTGAACAATGCTGCTCACAATGCAAAGAGAATCAGGAAAGCCATCATAAGACAGAAGAGACCCATGGCTTCTGAGAGGGCAAAGCCAAGGATGGCGTATGTGAATAGCTGTTGCTTGAGTGATGGGTTGCGGGCATAGCCGATGATCAAGCTTCCGAAAACTGTTCCGATACCAGCTCCTGAGCCAGCGAGTCCTACGGTGGCAGCACCTGCGCCGATGAACTTAGCTGCGGCTTCTACATCACGTTGTGGAACAGACGTCTGGAAGCCACGGCTCACAATCTGGGATGAGGAGAAATGAAAATATTTGAGGTTAACATACTGCAATTAAAAATGTTCAATTGACCACAGTCAAGTTGTAGCCATCAATGCTTGATAAACATAAAGGCCCGAATTCACAAAGCAAGGTTTGACCTCAGACCAAGGTTTGAGCTCAAACCTCATTTTGTTCTTTACAAACCAGGTTTGTAAAAAACGCGTAAAACGCGTCATATGACGTACGAAAACCAAGGTTTGTTAACAAACCTCCTTTGTGAATTCGGGCCAAAGGGTTTGTCATGGTACAAGATTGTCATGCTGGTAACTTGCTTTTAAGCAACCATCCCTGTACAAGTACATAAAGACCATATCTCTTACAGACTGCATTTGTCTCTTTTGAGTTGTTTTAACATGCAGCTTCATTAAACTATGATACTCCCAAGTAATTTCTTGAAATTAAAAAACAAGATTTGTTACCTTGAAAAATAACCCAAAAAATAATATAACAAGCTTTCTTGAAAATGCAAATGGTTTGACTGAGAAACACTGGGTTACATATCCAATATAATTAGGACAAAGTTGTAAATGATTCCATAAAGCCTACAAACTAAATCACAAGATTATCACAATATTTCAAGTGTTATTATTCCTATTAAATTATAATGGTACATATCAAACTCAATATTCTAAATAGATAGAAGTCACATTGAACATGCTTTCCAAACAGTAACTTAGTGATTTCCACCAAGTTACTTAAAGGTAAAGACCAGTTATGGTCATGCGATTGCATTGTGAAAGAAACGTTGTGGAATCGATCAAAAAAGGTTGATCATCTAGCATCTGCAAGGTTCTGGAATCATCAAAATGATAAGAAATTTGGCCCATTCTTTGTAAAGTTACAAGCACTATACACAGAAAGATGTATATGGGACTACCCTATATCTCTCACAGACCATGAGAGAACAAATTTACCAAATATATGAATTAGTAGGCGGTTTCCCGGCAAATTTTTTATCATCATGTATTATTCAAAACATATTCTTTCACATGATTGGTAATGAGAGCTTCCATTTCATTTTTTGAAACTGGGGCGTTTCCAATACTGGTCTTTACCTTTAAATTGTTTTACAGGGGCTCAATTTTTTTATGGAGATTAGGGGGGATCACAACAAAAATTCCCTCATTATTTTCGTTTCGCGGCGAAAATTGAGGCGGTCATATATGCGACCACTAAAAAAATACAGGGCATGCTAAATATCTGTAAAAAAACTTTATTTTTTCTGGTCAAAGAAAGGGAAATATTTTTCATGTAAGAAACTGGTGATATAAAAATATTAATAACATGTAAATTGATTTTAAGGCAAACTTAAAAGGTAAGGCAAGTGACTATTTCACTTTATACAAAAATGGCTCCTCCTCATTATGATTCTTGATGTTGGTTAGACTTACTTGACTAACAAGTGTCTCTGGACTCTTTACACTCATTGCACTGCTAAGCCCTGCTAGGCTGCTGTATGAGGCTAGTGTCCTCTTTGAACTGTAAAACAAAATAATAGTGGTCCAAATTTATTGGTCAATTCAACAGAAAAAACAAAACAAAACACATGTGTGGTGAGCGAATGAGCTCTCGAAAGCTCCAATGACCTCAGGTAAAAAACATATATTAAAATACTGCTGTATGAAAATCACTATTATAAAACCAAATGCTATAAAGGATACAAACATTATTTTTTTAAACACTGAAATACAAGCAAAGTATAATTATATTACTTTTTTTTAAGTCACAGAGGCATTTGGAAATACCTGGACATCCAGTGAAATAATTGCATGATTTGCATCAAACAAAAAGTCTACTACAAGACTTAAATAATACATGTACTCATTTGCATGTACTCATCAAGTATACATTAATAATTGGAAATACCTGGACATCCAGTGAAATAATTGCATGATTTGCATCAGCCAACAAGTCTACTACAAGACTTAAATAATACATGTGCTCATTTGCATGTACTCATCCAGTATAAATTAATAATTTGGAAATACCTGGACATCCAGTGACATAATTGCATGATTTGCATCAGCCAACACGTCTACTACAAGACTTAAATAATACATGTACTCATTTGCATGTACCGGTCATCAAGTATAAATTAATAAATTGATTTATAAAATGTTTTAACATAGAAAGCACAATACTCAAAATGGGTCAAAGTTGACATTCTGTAATTTTTTTCTCTCCTATTCTCAAGTAACATTGTGACAAAATTAGAAAATAAATTACCTGACATCTGTATTGCTAGTTGCTGCACAGAGGGGTCTGGCAATTGCTCTTGAATTCCTTGCAATCTGAAAGTGAATAAAGTAAAAATAAAGCTTACAAAAAAAGAGCACACATACATGTACAACAACATAACAATGAATTAACAGGATATGGGGAACAATATGTTATATGAGTTACTATTATCAATCAATCAATGAAGAGTGCCCTGTCACTGCCTGCTGAAACACATTCTCACATGCTCCAGCACCTGGCTGAAGACAGTCAGAGGACGCTTGAGGTCTTGTTTTGGAGGGCAAATAATCAGGGTCCCCATTATAACAAAGTGGTCTGCCATATTGCATATTTAAAACTAAGATTTTGATTGGTTAATGGTCCAGCCTTTTGAACAATAATGTGCATTCAATAATGATCTTGATTGGCCATTATCATTTTGCAACTGATTGCAAACCTTTGTTACCTGTATTCCAATGCTTTTTTCTGGGGAGGGAGGGGGAGGGAGGGGGAGGGAGGGGGAGGGGAGGGGGAGGGGGGGAGGGAGGGGGAGGGGGGGGGGGGGGGTAACAGATACCTTTTTTTGCACACTTCTACCCTAACCCACATCACAAGTTTAAAAAGAATTGTTCAGAATCTGCAAATTTCTTGATTTAGGTTACATCTTTTCAGACCTTGATGTTAAAAACATCACTGATTGCCACTGTAATTACATGTACTTCATGTTTTTTTGTGGGCATAATCTTCAAAATCTTTCTTTCCTCTTTCATGTCTGATAGTCTTAGGTTAACCCCTCCTCACAAGTTTGAGGTGGACCATAAGCTACACAATATTTGAAGGCTAATACTTTTCTAATGCAGTGTTGTGGGCAAATTTTCATGGTAATTGATAAATTGGTATACCTTGGTTTGAAGTACTAGTATCACATTGTTAAAAAAACTATAAGAAATAGCATCTTAATACTAATAGTCAATATCCATGCCTGTGTAAATATCGAACTATTTATAAGATGGGGCCCTGGATATATCATTTTTAAAAAATAAGCCCCCCCCCCCTTAAATACACACCCATACATGCATTCATAATGCTAAAAATGACTTCTAGTCAAGAATATGACATTTAAAAAAAATTCAATCTGATGAAAGAAAGTTACACAATGATCTGTTGGTTTTTAAATTTGTAATCCATCAACCAAAAATTTGCAACTCTCATGTGCTTAAAAACCTATTGGACAATTTTCACAGTTCTTCTGTACTGAAACTTACTAAATTTATTACTATATCTTTTCAGAAGATAAAATTTCTCAATCCTGTCCGCTAGATATATTAATGAAACAATTTTTTTTCAGTCGACACATTTGGGAAACTGCCTCTTAACATAACAGATTTTTTTTGGGTAGCTCCATTTGGTCTTTCATTCCAGAGTTCGGTTACAACTTACAAGGTTGTCAGACGTGGTCCACAAACAAAAATGCAAACATGTATGATGTAATTAATGCAACTTGGAGGAATGTGAACTGGGGTTTTCTTTGGACTTGTTTGGAGCACATTTGCACGTCTGTTTTTAAACAATCACTCTATCAAAAAGTTTTGATTCTTCATCAAATCCTCAAAAGGGACAAGTTCGAGAATTTTCAAAGCAAAAGCCCAAGTAAAAGATGTGCTTGAAAGTCAAGGTACATCAAGTTGATGCCATTTCGCCTTTGATTTAATAAAAACTTTTTATTATTAAGTTTAATAAATTTTAAAAAGACCCAAAGTACTAAAATGACTAAAAAAGATACAACAAATTATCGAAAATACCTGCTTGATGCAGTAATTAGTCCACGATTAAATTCAAATTGAAGCTCATTTAGTCAAATATTGGGCGTTTTTTCGGGACAAGTCAATGCGATCCTTCCTCTAAATCGAGATCTAACCGTGTACGAACGTACGACAGCCAGAAGCCTCGCGATACCTCCCTTTTGCCTTTTGGCCGTACGTACGTACATCTACGCTACGTGTCTACACAAGGTTGGAAAAAGGATTGCATTAACCTGACAAAGCGTTAAAAATTGGACTAAATGAGCTTCACTGTTGACCTTGGACTAGACCTAGTTATTCTGCATCAATTCAAGAAGATATTTTTGATAATTTTTAGTAGACCTAAAAAAGTATTTTGTAAAGTCAAATTCAGAGCATTTTTTTTGGTTTTCTTCTGGAAATTTCGACTAATTTGGGAGGAAATTGTAGAATTACCAAGAATAGACCCTATTACTATTAGAAACAAGAGTGGGTGGCAATATTACGATATATTTGTTCTTGTTTAAAGGTGGAAAATAAATAGAATTGAATTGAATAGTTCTAAGTTAGACTCGGTATGACTCGCCAGGCCAGGGCCAACTAGTACAGTACGCCTACACTCACTGCACAATATACATGCGAAGGTAGGCATTTAGCCGGTCAAGTAATGGCCGACGCGACAAATCTAAGCATTGCACTGCGAGTTGAAACTAAGAATAACCGGTCCATAAGAAGTAAAAAATAAAATAAAAAGTGAGGTACAAACCAGAGCTTGTGAAGCAGAAGAGCAGATCTTTGCACAGCTGTTCATTTTGGATGATTTTTGGTCGGCAGACAGGCCAAGAACTTGAAAAAAACTGTGGAGTTAATAAGAAAATGCGAAAATCAAAGTAACACACAAGTGACTGCACTCAAATAACGACGAAATTACACTTTCGGCAGCACAAATACCAAACAAGTTGATTTGAATGTAATTGTAAGTACGCTTTGAATTGTTCAAAAAGAGAAATGGAAGTACGATTCCAAAGATTTTGGTCGATAATGACGGGCTAAAGAATTCTTACCTGAGGGGTACCGGCGTTCCTGAATTGCTACGCATGCGCACGACCTTTTGCCCGAGAAATTTCGATAGTGGTGGTAGTTAGCTTCGATTCAAGACTTTGATAAATATATTGTAAAAATAAATGCGATCATAAGCGGATCCAGGATTTCGTAAAAGATGGGGGACAATGTTTTTCTGAAGAAAAAAAAATATACACATGTATGTAAACAATAATTAAGATTAAATTAAATAAATCATCAGGAATTTTAGGTGCAGTTTTTGCTAAAACATGTACAGTAATTATAAACAAATATTTTGTAGAAATGAGGAAAAAAAAATCATCACCAACTCAAAGGGTGACATCATCAGGCCTAAAAAAAAGATATTGTATTGCCCTTTACGTGCCAAAACATGGGTCGGTCGGTAGGTTTATAAAAAAAAAAAAACCTTTTCCCCCTTTCTTTTCTCCCTCTTTGGGCTGATATTTCTCTGTTTATAATGCAATATTTTTGTATTTATTTTTCTCCCTCTTGGCCTCTTTGGACTGATATTTCTCAGTTTTGAATATTCTGTTTTCATTAAACATTTTTTTCTAAAAATCGGTAAAAAAAAGGAAAACTTTTTAAAAAAGTGGACCATAGATTTCAAAATATTTGGGTCGGTCGCAAAGGGCAATACAACATCTTGTTTTTACGCCTCATGCTTGTCGGGTTTGAGGTGGGGTGTAGACTGTAGGGGAGTGGGAATGGGCGACTCCCCAGGGGACAAATTTCTTCACAAATTCGACCAAAAATATCATATGTTATTACATGTATTATTATTATTTAGAGACATCGTCGTTTGTTTATAAGCGCTACATGTAATTTAAAAAAAATTGTTATAGGTATTCAATTATTTTGCTAATATTTGTATATATTTTTTCCAGATTTTTTAAACAATGTACTTTATCTGTAGTTAGAAAATACAAAACAACTAGCCTGTTGTCGATTTAATGAGTAACCAACTGATCTAATTTTTACATTAGGCTTATATATTTTTGTTGTTGTGTGTTAGGCATGTGAACATGTGAAAATCTGTCAGCAAATTTAAAAACACGACAACCGTTATTTTCCTTGTTGGCAAATTTGAAAATGTCATGCTAAGTTTTCGGCATATTGCCCCCCCCCCCAAAAAAAAGTGGCGGATCCAGGGGGTAATCCCCTGGGGGGAAAAACAGGTAAAAAAACATTAATTTTACCTTTTTTTTTTAGATGGGCCCCCTCCCCTGGCGCTCAAGAAGGAGGGGGGGCGTGGTGCGATTTTTCAAATTTTCGGGAGCAAAAAAAAAAAAAAAAGGTGCTACTTAAGCCCCCCGCTTATTCAATGGCTGGCTGTTTCGCCGCTAAATATTTTCTTACAAATTGGGCCCCCTCTTTGGCCCCCTCCCCTGCCTCCGGCTGGATCCGCCCCTGCCCCACCCCCGCCCCTATATAAAATGGCCTGGTGACTTCTCTGACTAAATGACCAACCCTACACTTCTCATTCCTCTCAAGGGGAAGGAACACATAATTGGCAAGAGGAATTTAGTTTTCTAAACATGGAAATGAACAAAGGAGCTAGTAGGCCCATATAAGGTGCACAACTGGGAGGGGTTACGTTTTACCCATGTTTATGGAAAGGCCAATATTTCTTGAAGTTGTATTAAGTCTAGCTCGAGTACCTACTCTTTATTTTCCTTACAACAATCTAAATATGAAAAAAAGTAACTATTAAATATGTAAAGAAAACTTGAATGAGAACTATATATCGACACAGAAGAAGATAAATTTTGATAGAGATCAGTAAATGAAGATGAAGATGACCGGTTTATCACAATGCCTTGATTTAGACTACGTAGAAATGAGTGACCTTTTGGACCTTCAAGTTTTTACACTGCACCATACCTCGTGGAAATAAATGAGCTTTGCAGAAACGACTGGTACGAGACTACATATTCTTCTGCGTTACGTGCGGTGTCGACGTAGTCTGCAGGCACAAACCCGGTCAGTCGTAAAAGAGAGTCTGCGCTATAAGACTACTACAGGCCATGTACTATAGCTGCTCCTGACACAACCATTGGTAGCTGGGCTAGGCTAGGCTTCTCTCAAGGCTCAAAGATTTTTTTGATAAAATGTCAAATTAGAGTCTGTGCTTACAGACTAGTGTCGACGCGACGGTGTACCACGTAGAGGTCTGTGCGGTGCTCGTTGATATCAGTGTTGATCTGATTAATTTTCCAAATTTTTTCTTGCACCTTGACGAATGTTGGCTTGCTTATGATGATGGTATTGGGACTACTCTCAAACTATGTAGGGAATCGAAAGAGTCAGTCAATTTCAGTGGCGGATCCAATATCATTGGCGTGGGGGGGGGGGGGGCAACTTTCACAATTAATTCCATATATGGGGGGGGGAGGAGAAAAAAGGATTTAAAAATAAATAAAAATTCAAAGGTATTAGAAATAGTCATCAAACTTTGGCGGTGCGTATTGGGATCTAGATTAGCCCACATAATTATGGAACAACGCCTATAACTGGGGCATGTGCCCTTGTATCCCCTTATCCCAAACCTGGTTACAAGCAGAGGCGGCGTTCCTAGTAGGGGGGGGGGGGGGCACAGTGCCGCTCCACTTTCTCAAGAACCTGAGAAAAGTGTCCCTCTTTACTTCCGTAAAGTGCCCCTCCCCATTTTGTTTGTGTATAGGTGCCACTTTTCCATTTTTATTTCCTTCTGAAATGCCCTTCCTTTTCCTTCTCATAAAATGCACCGTTTCCAATCCCATATTCTTTTTATAATGAATGCCCTTTCTCCTTTTTGATAAGTGACCCTATGCATCTTTGATAAGAGCATCTTTTTATTCTCGATAACTGTCTTTATTTCTTTCTAAGAAGAGCACTTTCCCCACTATATAGGTATCCCTTTACCCCGCTGATAAGTGCCCCGTTTTTTATACTTCTGATAGCTGCACATTCTCAGCCTTTCTTAAATGTTGTCTCCGCCTTTCCTTAGTGTGAGAAATGAGCCTTTTCTGTTCAAATAAGTGGCCCTTTTCCCTTTTGACAAAATACAACCTTTTTGATAAGGCACTTAAGTGCACCTTTTTTCAATATCAACTTTAATTTGAAAAAGGTAACGCAAATCAAATTCAGGTTACATGTTTTAAAGAACAATGTACAGGTCAACAATGGAAGACATATTTCAAAAAATTACATTGAAACATGAAATAAACATGCAATTATTTTTGAACGAATTATGGATCCTTTCTAATGAGTGCCATCCCCTCTTCTCATAAGTGTCCATGTTATCCTCTGATAAATTCCTCTTTTCCTTGCCAATGAGTTCCCCTATTCAAATCTGATTAGTGCCCAAATTACTTTGATAAGTGCCCCTCCCCTTTTCCTCTCCTGAGAAGTGCAACTTTTCAAATGTAATAAGGTTTTTAAAGTTCCATGCACCTTAGAAGCACATACCAAATGTCAGTCATGATGAAAAGAGGCCTACATAATATACACGAGCTATATGACCTCCAAAAAATTGTGTTAAAGGTACAATGTCCCCTTTGCAGGCCAAAAAATGAAAAGGTTGAATTCCAACGGTATTTGAAAGATAGTAATTATTTCGAAATTCCCTCTAAACGAAAGGGCTTGAAAATGTCTTTAAGTGGGGAAATAACGAGCATTAGTTGTCGAATTGACTTTTTCTTTATGATTACAATTCATTTAGTAATAGTCTGATTTTTTAGACCCTTGAACCAAATGGTCGTACGTTTTGTGCTGCGCAAAGGTTCAATCAGTTTAATTTTGGCCAAATACAAGAAGTGGGTTATTGATGTAGACAAAATAATCAGGGTCCTGGGAACGATTTTTTTACCGGAGCCGCTGAGATATATATATTGCAAAATTTTTGCAACGACTCAGCCAGCCGTTGAAAAAGCGGGGGGGGGGGGGGGGGGGGGGGAGTACTAGGACATTTTTTTTTTTTTTGTCCTATAAATTTCGCAATGACTCAGCCAGCCGTTGAATAAGCAGGGGGGGGGGGGGGGGTAAGAGGACACGGGTGGGGTAAGGTCTGTCATTTTTGGTCACCAATTATCACAATTTTTTATTTTTTATTATTATATAAAAAAAAATTAAAAAAACGCTTCGAGGGGTCAATATGATTTTGTGAAAGAAACGTTATAATTTTGTACTTTTTAATCTTCATTTTTGGCTGTCGGCTGTGTGATAATTTTGTAAGCGAGGCATATAATGATATACAGTAAATATATCATACCAAAAAAATTTGCAGGGGGTGCTGTGCCCCCCCCCCCCCCCTGGAAAAATTCCGGGGGTGCTGCAGCACCCCCAGCACCCCCGCTTCCCAGGGCCATGAAAATAATGCTCATGTATCCTTTTCAGCTCATTTTCTGTATGTTATTACCAAAGAAAAAAAGAAGTCTGGCAGGCAGTCACTCAATATTGTTTGACAGTGAAGTCTAGAAGGTATACAGGTTTCCTCACATAATTTGAATACCAGAACACTATTATAACGTTTAAATTTCACAGACCTATTCAAAATTCCTGCAAAGTTCTACAGAATTTGATGTAGGCTGCAAATGGGACAACGTACCTTTAAACTTCCCCAATCTTGCATCGACCATGTCGAGGTAACCTTAAAGCTCTTATTCCGGCATGCGACCACCATCAGGTTTGGTTATATTATAGTATTAATGACTGCTTTGAGAGAAATAGTTGTTTTATTACGCTCAAGGGAAGGTTAGAATTGTGCTATATTCCCCGAGGCTTGCCGAGATGGCTGGATTTCTTAAGTGAGGTATATAATATCGTATAAGATTCGATCCGTCACAATGTCACCCGTCATAAATCCCTATTTTTTTTATTTAAAATTTTTTTTTATTGTTATTTCTGAAAAAATTTAAATCCCAATTTGTTTTTCTTGTTTATTGTTATTTTTGAATAATTATAAATCCCAATTTTGTTTGCTCGCCCTTACAGTGTAGAAATTACATTATGGGAAGGTACAACAATGTCCAAATTTGTCCACGTTTTGTGCATATTCTTTGCAGGTGTCCCCCCCCCCCCATTGCCCTTCCCACTTTGAAAGACTCAGACTTTAAAAACATCAACCTATAAGGCAATTTCAAGAATGAGGGTCGTCCATCACCTACAGAAGTATGCAATCTTGTTTATTGTTATTTTTGAAAAATTATAAATCCCAATTTTGTTTGCTCGCCCTTACAGTGTAGAAATTACATTATGGGAAGGTACAACAATCATTGTCCACGTTTTGTGCATATTCTTTGCAGGTGTCCCCCCCCCCATTGCCCTTCCCACTTTGAAAGACTCAGACTTTAAAAACATCAACCTATAAGGCAATTTCAAGAATGAGGGTCGCCCATCACCTACAGAAGTATGCAATGCAATTCCTTCTTAGGCCTTTTAGGGCGGGGGGGGGGGGGGAGTAAACCTTTTCCTCGAGCCAAACCAGTCCGTCATTTTTAACTCACATCTCCGACAAAAACCGGCAATTTCCCCGAGGTTCGCGTGAACCCTCCTAAAAAAATCTTATCAATACCCCTCCCCCCCCCTCCTCTCAGTCTCTCTCTCTCTCTCTCTCTCTCTCTCTCTCTCTCTGCAGGGGCGCCGCGGAGCGTCCTTCAAAGTGGGGGTGCACTAAATAAAAGGGTACTGTCTGTTAAAAACAAAACAATTTATAGACCTTGGTATAATCATACCCCTACATAATAATCGATACATTCTCAATTTCGGCAGAGTGTTGTGTTTACATCTCATCATTCACAATCAAGGCATGTGTTTAATGTGCCTCGAAATTTTAGCTATCTTATGAAGACAGGAAATTTTCTGTTTAGTCTAGAAGCGTGTCGTGCTGGTGTCGTGGAAAACAACTCTCACGTATTATACCGTACCCTAGTGGTATAAATGTGATCGGAATATTTCCCCTGCACGGAATAAAACCGGCGCTAAAAACTAAACACAACAGCTAAGTACCAGGGTTGGATTGAGACGCACTATACTTGGCACCATACGAAAAACTACATGGCTAGCTCCTAAGTACTAGCTGCATATGATAGAGCTGGAGCACCTATACTAGTCCCACAAGGATCGATACTCGGTCCTTTATTGTTTCTACTGTATGTTAATGATATCTCGAACTCAACTACATCATTACAATATATTATATTTGCTGATGATACTAATGTGTTTTGCTCCAATTCCGATTTTCGATCACTTCAGAGAATTCTGAACACCGAGCTACCTAAGCTGTCTTTGTGGTTTAGGAGCAACAAATTGTCTCTGAATCTGAAAAAAACTAATTATATTCATTTTCAAAGCAGGAAAAATGCAACTGATAAACCTATACCTGAAATAGTCTTGGATGGTGAATATTTGGAGAAAAAAGAAAATACTAAATTTCTTGGAACTATCATCAATGAAAATCTGAAATGGAGTGATCATGTACATTACGTTTCAAAGAGAGTGTCACGCACTGTTGGTTTACTGTATAAGTTAAAACATTATGTGCCTTTGAATATTCTATATATGCTATACAATTCCTTGATTCTTCCTTACATGTCTTATTGCAATATACTGTGGGCAGACTCAAAAGTATATACTGATAAAATGCTACTTTTACAAAAGAAAGCGATTCGTGTGTGTACCAATGCTGGATATCGCGATCACACTGATCCCCTATTCGCGAGGTTAAAAACTCTGAAAGTAACTGATATTAACTTTTTACAAAAAGCACTGTTCATGTTCCGTCTACATAATGATTCCCTACCTTCCCACTTCCCACCAATGTTTTGTTTGAATAGAAATATTCATACATACCCAACCAGACAATCAAATAAATACCATTTATGTAATCCTAAAACAACAATGGCTATGAAATCTATAAGACATTCTGGTCCGGATATTTGGAACTCACTGTCCGTTGACATCCGTAACTTGAAGTCAGTATATACTTTCAAGAAAAGTGTGAAATCAATTTTATTGAGCAAATATTGAAAAATCTCTTAAATTAACACATGATATCATATATGTTTGTCAGCATTTCCTTGATATAGCAGGAAAATCCCCCTCCCATGCACCCTCTATCCCATTTTTTTTTTTTGGTTGCAAGTCACTGTTTATTTTTTGTTATTTTCCCCCAATTATGTTCTGTAATTTACTTTACTTTACAATCGTTATGATTTTAAATGTTTCTGGGCTGCAAGCGTATCAAGCTGTCACGCTTAGGCTGTAGCCCTTCTGTATCATCACCTCTTCGAGCGTATGTATCTATGATTTACTGAATGTGGAAATGTAATTTAACTTATGTTTTATACTCATGTAAAGACATTGTCACATTATTGTTATAACCTATGATGATTCAGTAACCAATAAATATTTCAACTATTTCAACTATAATAGGCGCGCCCTGTGCCACTGCACTGTACTGCACTGCACGAGCTACTACCACAGTGCAGTGAAGTACGGCTAGCGGAGCAGACGAAATAGGAGCAGTTCAGCAGGACGAAACAGTCCACGAAAGCTTTAACCTGGTTTAGTACGTATGTCCTATGCTAACTTAAGAACGCGCCCGGTACTGGTAAACTCTAATTGCAATTTCCTGCTGATTTCTCTTCGCAAAGCCAAATTCGAAAAGGCAAACCTTCTTTTGCAAACCACCGGTACAGTGTTATTAAACGGACGCGATCATACGGGGCGCGGTGAGGCAGTCTACTGTGTGGAGACGCCGTTACTAATATTCGGGATGCTGACATGAACACTAAAATACACCATGGATATAATGCCGCATCTGAGGTATATGAGAATAGAAATTGCATCTTTTATCTGAGCGGAAGCCACGACAGACAAATCTGCTATATGGGTGACCGGGATAATGGCCGTTTTCTTCACAAATGTGTGTAAATTCAGCGACTGTGGCCTGACTTTCCCGTCTCTCCGTCAGCTGATCGAGCACATAGAGGATGCACATATTGGTGAGTTGATCGCTCGTACTACGTGCGTACACACGTACACAGCTGTATACAGAGAATCTATTGTTCAGTCTTCCAAACAAAAGCTAACGGGACAGCGCAGGCGAACGTTTATGGGATTTGTGGCATAGCCTTTTGGCAGTCCACAAAACAAAGAACGTCTGGTCAGGTACAAAATCCTTTGTTTGGGTGCTGAGGTTGAGCTGTCAGAATATGTTCATTATGACAAAAAACATCACTTAGAAGTTAGAGCCCTAGATCTAGTAATATTACAAATGTGTATGAGCAGATCTGTTAATGTTATTGTTAATCAGTATTCTGCCATTTGACTTAAAATTAATTAAGTTGGGTGAAATATTATTTACTTTCTAATTCAAGTTTTCTGAAAGAATGTTTAGTGAATTAGTGAAGCTTAAAGGCATTTAAACATGTAAACTTGATAATGACATGCACTGATATTCAATATATTTAAGAACCAATTAATAATACATGTACTTCTCTATTCGTACCTAGACAGAAATAACCGTCTGATATGGGTCATTTCTTTAATAAAACTGACATTTGTTGACATTCCCCATAGAGGCGGTCAGTAAAGCCAGATGCAATCTCAGCGGAACCACCGTCGATATCAGAGACTGAAGCTTTCGGTTTAATTCGTACCATGTATTTTCTGTTTTTATTTTTATATATTTGATTCCCAGGAACTTGACATCAAACAATAAAACACATAAACGATGAAATCATACCAAAAAAAAATTGTGTCCCATTTGCAGGCCAAACAAATGAAAAGGTTAAATTCCAACAGCATTTGAAAGATAATACTAATTTAGAACTTCCCTAAAAAAAAGGGGGGGGGGGGGCGGGGGGCTTGAAAAAGTCTTTAAGTGGGAAAATAAAGACTATTAGTTGTCGAATCGACTTAAGAGCTATAGAGCCAGTAAGTAATAGTCTGATTTTCACACCATTGTACCGAATGGTTGCACGTTTTATGCTGTGCAAAGCTTCAATCAGTTTAATTTTGGCCATTACAAGAAGTGGGTTATTGATGTTACCAAAGAAGAAAAAAAGCCAGTCAGTCGCTCAATAGTGTCTGACAGTGAAGTCTAGCAAGCAAACAGGTTCCCTTGCATAATTTGAATATTAGGACACTGCTATCGTCTAAATTTCAGCGATAGGACATACATGACATATTCATAATTCCTGCGAAGTTCTACAAAATTTGATGTTGGCTGCAAAAGGGACATACATGTAGTATCTTTCATATTAAAAAAAGAACAAAAATAGTAACCAATGCCTTGAGATTGCCCAAAAGAAATTAATACCAATGTCAAGTTTTACACAAGCATGTAACTTTATCTATTTTCAAGAGAATTTACTTTTACAGAAATAGAAAGGAAGAAATTGTATTGAATTCAGACACAGGAGAGAGAAGATAAAACATAAGTCTGTTAAAGTCTTGGATTATCAAGGTATTTTGAAAAGCATCGAAACTTAGAAGTGAAAGAAAAGGTGTGGTTATTTGTCCCACTATCAATTAAGCATGAGTTCAGGTTCAGCTCAGGCACACAACTGAAGCCCAAGTTGTTTGTAAACATGCCCCCTTGTTCAGAGATGCAGGCTAGGTTACAGTCGATGATAATACCTGTACATCTCTTGGATGGGATGGGAATCAACATCTTGTCTGAAAGACAGCCACAACCCAGCGCTGTATTTCTCTAAAGGAATTGTGAAAATGTAACCAGTAATTAACTGCTCATCTTAAGCAGCTGGAAGTTGTCTTTATCTGTATTACATGGAGGGTAAGGTACTGTGAGGAGGGAAGTAACTCAGCAGAGGGTTAAACATGGCACAGGTGTTTTAAAATCATGATAATGTGACTTTTGTGTGTACAGGGGTCGTCACAAGTATTCTATTTTGAATATGAGCCCGAGCCCACCCCCGCCCCCTTTCTCCCCTTAAAAAAGAGAAAAATTGAAATTCTATTTCAAAGAATGTTATAATCAAATGTATCATCACAGGAAAACATCGGTGCAAGACAGCAAAACACTAGCCATCAATCGAAATGACCAAAGTGGTCCAAACTGTAAATTCATTCAATGTCAAAACCCACCCGTCAATTAATTCTGACTGATTTTTTTTAAAAATATTGTTCATTTTTGGCCGAAAAATCACAGAAATTACCATATTATAATTGATGGGGGTCAGTTTGACCACATTTTCTAGCATAATACGGCTTTTAAATCCCATTTCTTATCATAACAATTTGAAAAATTACCCTTGACTAAAAGTGACCATAATGGTAATGTAGTAAGTCTTGGCCCAAAAGTGGCCAAAATGATCGAAATGTCATGAGAAGGGTCAATAAGAAATTTTTTGAATTAGCACAAAATTTTACCCTGGATAAGCTATTCAAACCTTCCCCACCAAAATATCTGATTATATCCCCTAATTTCCTATGTACTGTAGGCCAGGGTATGTAACAAAGCCTAGGCACAGAGCTACCATTAGAGAATATCAAAATGCCCTTCCAAGTGTTCTTTTGTCGCATATAAAAAAATGATATCATTTTAGAGAGGGTTTTGTTTAACATAGTAAAATGTTCAATCAATTGTATTTTGAAGTCCATTGCAAATTTGCAATATCTATTTTTTTTTGGGGGGGGGGGGGGAGGGAAGCAAAATCTAAACAAACCCAGCCAAACCAAACACACCAAAACAAACAAAAAAAGGATGAAGAGAAGAAAGAGTTAGAGTGTTAGAGTTAGGAATTTGAGAGTATAAGTTCTTTCCCATATTTGACATTAATTTCCATTTTCATTCCAACAAATGTACTGCACCTGAAAACACAAAGCAAAAGTTATTTTGGTTAGATTTATTCTTGTTGTGTTGAATATGCATCCACTTTCATAGAGAGAGAGAGAGAGAGAGAGAGAGAGAGAGAGAGAGAGAGAGAGAGAGAGAGATTACATAAAATGAATGAAATAGGACCTCTAAAGTTCTTTTCTTCCGTTTGAGAATATCTAAATGCGCTTCCAAGTGTTCCTTTGTCGCATGATTGATAATGACAGTATGGGGAAATTCAAAAGTACAATTAGAACATGTTATACTTTATTGAGCAATGCAGTACCTGTTATTTTGATAATATGATTGATTATGATTGTTTGTTTTTTGTGTGTGTTTTATTTTCAGATAATGATCCCAAGTTCATAGAGAAACAAGAACTTCAGCAGCCATCATCTCTGCCTCTCAGCTATGTGATAAAGTGAGAATAAGTCTGAACTTGAAAGTGACAGTTACCTATAAATTTTATAAACTTTTATTTCATTTGTAATGACTAATGAGCCCCCCTCCCCCCCCCCCCCCCCACACATCCCAAAAGCTCCACTTCTCAACCTTCTCTTTAAAAGAACCCTCATCCCAACAAATAAGTGTACATGTAGGTATGCTGAAACATGAGCTTTCTTTCTACCAAGAGATAAATGAAGATATTCTTGACATGATGTATGGTGTAATGTGTTTTAGCATGACATGGGCGCAGCATTCTCTTGATAAGGTGGCACACCAGAGAACTTGTACATGTATCATGTACCAAGCTCAAGATGGAAAGACGTTTTAGTTCAATAACAAAACCATTACTTTACATTGAGGGAAAATCGTAGCGGAGAAGGTAAAAATGATATTTAGTGAAAAATATATATCAGGGGCACAATTACCAGTATAACTCATTATTTGAAAATACTAAAATATAGCAATTGATAAATCTATTTAAATGCAAACCTGTCACCATAGAAGAGCCACAAGTTATTTACGCAATTCACGTTCTGACAATCATATATTACAAAAGATAATGGCAGGTGAATTAAATATTTCATCACCATACGCACTGGGAAAGAAGCATCTATAAATTTGAATACATTCACTTGATAAACGACTTTGCATACTATATTATGTCATCATGGTATCAAGAAAATGGTGATGCCAAAGTCGTACTAAGTTTTTCAATTTTTTATTTGAAATGAAAGGTTTGTGACTGATGCAGCGAAGCATCAACATGAGAAGAAGAAGGCACGGGTGCACAGTTCATCAACATCAAGTCCTAAGACTATCGCACAGACTCTTGTAGGTAAGTCTAGCAGCTCTAAGTTGCTGTTTTCACAGATGGACAATTTCATTAAGTAAATAGTGTGTTCATTTCAATAATTCCAGTTGTGTAAGCAAGTTCTGTTATCAGTTTTACTGAAGCAAGTAGTAGCCTTAGAGTCAATAATATTGAAGTATAGCACATAGCTAATGAATGCTGCCCTTTGGTGGTTTATTCAATTATTTCCTGAATTATTCTCTGCTGTAAATTCACAAATGTGAATGAGCAGGCCTTTTTGATGAAAAAGAAATATTGCAAAGACATCCCCTGGCATACTCACAAATGTCATAGATTTGATTACAAGCCTAAAATAAATATACTTGTACCATCCTGTAAGGAGTAACTTTGGCAAATCTATGGCATTTGGCCTATACGCGTAAAATACAGACTGCATACAAGTTATCCTCTAAGTTGAGCTTGAATGTCATCAAATATGAAGGAGAGAGACTTTTTAAATGTTCCCTTTAGTTTGTTTTTCATTAGCGCTGTTAATGTAAGGGTTAGCAAATTACCAATATGTTACATGTGTATTAAAACAAATATTTTTGTAATAAACCTTTTGTATTTGAATATATTAATGAAACAATAATATCTGAGCTGCAGGGAACCAATTTGATTGGCCTATTTGGAACTTCCTGTGTGACCTGGGGGGTTTCACAAAGATCCTAAGTAGAAGTTAACACTAAGTTAGACTTAAAAATTATGGACAGCCATTGAAGCCTTAAAATGAAATACATTCAAAAGCAGAAATTCAAGTATTTTAGACTTTTTTATAACTTCCACATGAAATCTCCTTGATGATAGAAAATATGAATGATTTGAATCAACATTTTATGCCTTTCAAAATAACTTTTACAAAATATTTTCAAAGTCGCTAACGGCTTTCCATAATTTTTAAGTCCAACTTAGAGTTAAGTTCTACTTAGGATCTTTGTGAAACACCCCCAGCTGTCAAAAATTATCTGTTGATACCTGAAGTTTGATATTGTTCACAATGGCACAATTACATGCAACCAATAACAAAAAAATTATTATTTATTGCCTTTATGAAATTGTTTCTTTGTCATGTCTCAAGCAGCAGTCAACAGTAGTGAGTGGGACTTTGACGATGACAACGACAAGAGTGATTCTGACAGTGATAACTCCTGGACAACCCAAGATGAGTTCAGCTATGAGCTTATCCTACGCACCATGGCCACCCAGGTGGGGGACGATAAGCCCTTCCTCTGCCCTGTCCCGGGATGCAAGAAGAGATACAAGAACGTCAATGGGATGAAGTACCATGCAAAGAATGGGCATAGGAATGAGAAAAAGGTATGTTTGGATGGAATACCTTCTTAGATCTTTGTATATGTAGCGCACATTTGAAATATTCTGTGACATATATGGTTCTGCCGCTGAGGATGGTGTCAGAAGCATCAGTTGAGGGCGGGGATCGACTGGCTCAATTTATGCCTAGTAATCTCCTTTAAAGTATCCCAATGGTTTGGATGTATGGCTTTATTCATGGTAGTATCACTTGCTTAACTATATTTTTTCTGTATTTTGTAAATAAGGATCTCCCAAGAGGTTACTGTGAAAGGAAATATAGGATGACGTTACTTGAAGATGGAAAAATGACAATACATGAGAAACAGAATGAAAATTTAAAAGTACATCTTCTTCAGAAGTTTGAAAGAGAAGTTATAAATACCGATAGTAGTTTTTTATGTAAGACCAAGAAAAGACAATTTGAACTGCCAATAGGTTCTTTTAAAGTATGTAGTAGTGATAACAGAATGAAGATTAACTGCTATTTTTTTAAATGTCCCCTCAACTCAGGTGAAGAAGAATTTCAAGTGTCAATGTGGAAAGAGCTACAAGACAGCCCAGGGCCTCCGGCAGCACCGACAGACACACACCAACTCACTGGACTTGCCTCTCAGTTCTCTTACCAGTAACAAACAAATCAAAACCTCTAAAGTAAGCAGCGCCCTGAGCAGCCTGGCGTCATCGACCGTACCAGCGTCCATCATCCACCAGGCAACCCCTCTCCTTGCCAGTCCCCTGGGGATGTCCCTTGCCAATGGGAGCATCGTCCTGGAATCCATCACCCCCATCTCAGCTGGTAGTATCATCATGGAACCAAGGGTGTCTACAGCGTCTGCTGCCCTCGGTGGCATGGCCCAGGCCCAGCAGACAGGCCTTATAGTGACCTTACCTTCTGGTGTAGAACCCACAAGCATGAACCTTGCCCAGGCATCACTGGCGGCTGCTAATAAGGTCAAATTCAAACAGATCCAGATCCAGGGGGAATTGTAAAGACTGAAATGTGCAATATGAAATTCTTGAGGATTTTGAGGGATTGAAGAGAGCTTTTACAATGTGGGAATGCAATTGGAGGCCATGCAATGCTGCCAGAAGATATCTATATGTACATGAACATTTGCAACATCAATGTCACCATTATCTGATTTTAGGATGGAGTATGTTTTACAAAATACATGAAGAGGATCAAGATACCATGCAGGAGGAACTTCTAAACATTTAATAGCGCATTATGCGGTATCTTAACAAAATCAGTTACACTTGATGTACAGTGTAGTCTCCAGAACACATGATCTTCATGGATGGATTGGCAGAGACTTTCTACAATTATCAATTATCCTCTTCTGTTATTCATCTCAAAACAAACTTCTGTACCTCATCTTGCCACCATTTTTTCTTCTCTGTATCCTTTTTTCGCAAAGAAACCTTCAGCAACATAGCTCTGTTGCTTACAAGTAAATACAACTTCAGAACTACCCGTCATCTGCAAAATTCCTGTTATATGTTGCTTACAACTCAATGGAAGTGCTTGCAACTCAAAATTTACCTCACAGCTGTTGTTTCAGAGACACTGACAATCAGGAGATGCACATGTTTGGTTTTTAATATGCAGTGTACATATATTATCTTTATTTATTCATGATATTTATTATGTTATGAGATTTAGGTTTTTGAACAGTTTATGGGCAGATGGCAGGGGTTACACCCTGGCTTTGTAAACGGCAAGCAAGTCTAGGGTATTTGATACCAACCACATCAATTGTAAGGTTTTTGTATACCTGATCATGGTATTTTAATAGCCATACTGGAGCTAAGATCAGTCCAGTTATGAAGTGAAATGAAATGTCAATTTACATCTAGATCTCAACAATGTTTGGTAATGTATGTGACTCCAGTGGAGCTTTTCACAAAACCATTATTAAGTACAAGTTTACTGACATCTCATTGAACTCATGTATCAGAATCAACATACATTTCAATGGGATGTTGGTGAACTTATACTTACAATCATGTCGTGAAACATTACCCAAATACCTTGGACTTGCCCCAAACTGGATATTATGGTGCAATTTAGTTATTAGTAATGACGTATATTGGACAAAATGTGTATGGATTGTTCACAAATTTTGAGTGTCAAATTATTCCATTCTCATGTGCATAGGTAATTGCCATGCTGTGCAAAGGATCTGATTACGTGAAGCTAAGTTTCAAAGTGGTTCTGTTGCGGAGGTCCCCATCTTCCAAAATGACAATCTCATCCTAATTTCGGTTAATTATTTGTCAGTTTTGTTTTATTCATACATTTATATGATTAATGTAAAATTTAAAAGATGAAACAAGAGTCACCTTTGAAGCCATATTTTCTTACCATGACAATTGATGCTGAAGCAAACCATTCAGTCAAATCAAATGCTTTTTTTGTTACTATTTTATTTTATTTCTTTGCATTTTTCATCTTTCATTCTGTCTTTTAATTTTTAACCATGGAATGGGTGAACAATTTTAAAGTGTTTTGAAATAATTATTTTCTGTTGAAATATCAGTAGGGAAAAAGTGATTATGAAAGTTTACATATCTTTGTTAATTTCCTTTGGTATGATTTTAATTCTTCCATTAAATGTTCAACTATACAAGTTATGCTGTGATGAAACCATATAGATTCCTGCTACATGTACATGTAGATAACTGTAGAGCACCCTAAACCATTGTGTAAATTATACGCAAACTCTCTCGCTGTTATTGTTCTAGATCTATTTGGATCGCTTTAGCAGCGGATCTGTAAAGTGGACCATATAAAATTATCCACATGCTTCTTCCTATTTTGCAGCTGAGAAATTTGCCTGTTCCCTTGAAGTAGGATATTGTATGTACATGTAAGTGCTATGACAGGCATGCATTATATCAGCTGAGGAAAAGGAAGATATAATTATGGTAGAGATATAAGCAGGATTTAATAGTGCTCTTAATACATTCATGATTTATCCAAGCACTTTACAAATATCACATTACCCCGGTCAACTTGCCAGCACGCTAATATGTACACATTCTCCACTCCTTGGGGAGCATTCCAGGTTTAAAGCCAATGGCATTTGCATCCTCCCAGGTACCCACATTCTACTCCTGGGTGAATAGAAGCATTGTAGATTTAACGCCATGCTCAGGGAATTGAATGCCATACTGGAGTTTGAACCCCTGACCTGTGTTTTACCAGTCAAGCATTTGAAACTTTCAATCTGCTTGAGCAGCGCCTGATAGTCTACTGGAGAAGTCAATTGATAAGAGCCAGAAGGGCGTTAACTCTGTGTCAAAGTATGAGCTAACGCCCTTCTGTCCACCAAAGAGAGACATAATGTATGTGATCTCCATGCACTCTCAAACCATCTCATGTGTAGGTGTGCACCCTGAAAGTAAAATGTAGGCAGCTAGGTCACCTAGTTGCACTCAGTCGAACCTTCTCTCATGCGATGTGAGCTCCCTGTGTAAACACTGGGCTATGTAAAGTGATATCATTCTGTATACACACAGGTCAAGCCAGACCCAACGCCTCTAATCTATATTCCTTGCAAGGCTCTTCAAGTTGATGGAGCCCTTACAGCGGAGCCCTAACATGTGCCTGTCCTGCAAGTTCATCTAGATATGTGTTAAGAAAACAGAGATGTTCTAGATATATGTGCTTTACGTATTGGCCTTATCGTTATACCCCATGACTTCACAGCCTCCATGCAGAGTATGTAGTTTGTTTAATGTATTTAAAATATGATGTAGAGCTTGAGAAACCCTATGTTTGAGAATTGAATTGTTACAATGTATGAAATATTGAGCATAAGAGGCTACAACCACTGCCATGTACATAATTTGGCCTCGGTGCCTGTAATTATTTCATACACAGCTCATTTGTTGGGATTCAGTAATTTCTGTCTTGAATTACATTTAAAATTAACAAGATAAAGACATTTTTTCCATTTTTTATAGAACAATATGATGAGGATTACTTTACCCTACTACATTATTCATCCTGAAATATGAGATACAATGAGAGAGAAAAGCAACTGTGTACCATGTCATTATTCTTGCTTGTTCAGATTATGCCTTTATGAATACTGATGTAAATGTAATAAAAATGATTGTTCCATCTATTAGTAGTTGCAGAAGAAAAGATCAGCATTGCAGTAAAGTTACCTTTTTTAATACCTGGTAATCATTAGAGCAATCTAAGTGATTATAATAATGATGATGATGTTACAATTTGCAGTTTGTCTGTTTGGAGCCAGAAGGATGTTATTAATTTAATGCCCTTTTGACTCTGAACAGATGACATGATGTATATTTGTTCATAGAATACCAGCAAGAAACTTTATAACCATTGAGTGACAGGCTCACTTGTTTAAAGAGCAAGATACGATTGTAGATATCATGTAAATATCAATACAGTTATATATTTTTAGTATGAAGAAAACTTTGATATGCATTTTTTGTAGATGTATAAACACTTTGTGCACTGGTAAACTATTATTACATGCTGTCGTTGTTTTGTGGTAGTTATTTGCTTATAACCAAGTATGCTTGTCACTCATTTTAAAAGAATGTCATTATTTGGTCTTAGGATGGTGGTGAATTGTTTTTTTGCAACAGTACAAAAGAGGGGAGGGTACTTAATTGTGAATATGAACTTTGGTGTTCTGTTTTTTTTTGTATCATAGAATACTGGAGTATTGATTTATTGGTACTATACAGACACTAGTTCCACACAGTGGGAGCTTGGTTGTAGTTATGTTTGAAATATTATTATGATGTGTCTTTTTCTTCTTATTCAAGTACTAAGTTGTACAAATTGTTTTTTTGTAAAACTATGGTATCAGAAATTCCATTTTGATAGTTTGGTTTATTTGTACATGTCTGCTAAAAAAGCATATGTGTGCTTGTAAGCAACCAGGGGACTGATGGCTTTAAATCCTCTCAAAGGGACATAGTAATGAGGATTAATGCTGTTCCAAAATGCACTAGTTTAAACCTGGGATCTCTTTGTTACAAACCACTGTGCCACTTGGCCTCCCAGTCTTCAGGAAATTGCAAAGAATAAGAATTTTCTTACCCTTTTTTTTTTAGGGGAGGGAGGGGGGTAGGCCAAGCTCTTTGGCTCTGTAAATATTTATCATGGGGCTTCTTGTAATGGTAGAGTTATGAGGGAGAAGTGCAATGTCTATAACTCATATTTTTTCCTTCTTAATCTAGCTTTCTTTCTTATTTCTTAGATTCAAATATATGCATGATGATGTGCATATACTTTGTTTTAAAGTTGATTCTGGCAACAATCCAAAAAGCAGAGTCATTGAAAAAGACACACTTTCACCACCCATGATTTTACATATGTTTTTATAGTAGAGTCTATCCACAGTAAGCCACAATTAAATATTAGTAAATGAATGACACAGGTAAAACTACTTTTCTATTGTAAATCTCTGCACTGAACATACCACTTGCAGTTCACATTTCATATTCCTGCAGCATGTACATTGTCAATATTTTATATCATGTAATTCTTTTGTCCATGTTGCATACAGCTCTAGGTCTTTGGTACAAGGAAACCTGTACATTAAGACCAATCAAGGGAGACAACAGAGTTGGTCTTTGTAGGCAGGTGGTCTTTATGTACAGATCCTCTTATACAGGTTTCTATGAGAAGCACTTTTAAAGCTGGGGGGGGGGGTGTAGTCTGTATAGACAGGTGGTCTTTCTAAACAGGATTGGCCGAAGCAAGTTTGATTATATTTTATTTACACAAGTGTACAAATTGATGGTCTAGGAAACCCTTGCGTTTAGTTCTCCAACAAGAATTCAAATACAAAACAATAAATTTATTCTCAAAAGGGGCACATGCCTACCATTTTTAGTGTAACTATACTTTGGCATGGTGCAAAATGCCCCTGTGTCCATTCCTGGAGCCATCTTTGATCTGTCTCCAACTAGAGAGGACACTTTTTCCGCAACTTTTTATAGGAGGAATTATTGTTGACTTGGTATATTTTTAAAGCTAGTCAGTTCAACACCATATATCTGGGTGCAGTGAGAAACTGTGCAATTTATATTCTGTTAGATGCATGCAAAATCTTGTACATTTCTTTTATCCACTAAATAATCCATTTGAAGCTCCTTTCATGTTTTCTTGCCGTTGGTGGAAATCCCAAAATTGTCTAAACCACTTTTTTTTTTTTTACTAAGTCATTGTGCAGTTAAGTGTACAGTTGTCTTCTGTGTTACTATGGAGAAACATGATTAGGAAGACTATCCAAGGGAGACACCAAAAGCGGTCTTTATAGGCAGGTGATCTTGATACACAGGTTCCATTTGACACATGTTTCATTGATGGGCATCTTTTCAAGAGATACACAAAATGTGGTCTTTATAGGCAGGTAGATCTTTCTTTACAGGTAGTCACAAAAGTAGGTTTGATTGAGTTTGCATGTACATCTATATGTAGATAACATGAAGCAAGTTGTTAAAGATCATGAAGCTAGAACTAAAGATTTGCTTGCTATACTTTGTCATCCTTCATTCATATACAAGAGTTGCCCATACCAGATAATCTCCATTAGTAAGCTCATTTATCTTACCTTTATGTTTCAAGACATTATTTCAGTTAGGACTGCCATTGTGTTTATTTTTTTGTAAGGATTCCCAAGTCACCCTGGTACATCTATGACTTGCTTAATCATGAATATCTCTGACATGCTAGTGATTAGGAGAAATGAAGTTTTAGTGACAACACTGAGATAAAAAATGATGTACAAGGCTACAACCATTTGAAATTCTTTGTCTGTTTCATAGGGACCCTTATATGGTCATTTTAAGTGTGATTGAATTGTTCTTATTTCAGTTTGAATGATCAGAGCATACATAAATCATCATTTGAGCTTTAGATCATGGAGCTGAAACCTGCAAAAAGTACAGAGTTATGACCTTGACTAATTTCGTAATTCTTTAGAATATTCTGAAGTTAAGTCTTATAAATATATTTCTATATTGATTTGCAGAGTCTTTGTTCATTTAGTTTCTTTGGTAGCTATCTGTATGAGGTGCACATGTTTCAAGTATTATTCAAGTGTATATTTGATTTATATTTATGGTAGAGGTACAGTTGTACTTTTAATTTGTATGTTGAAGATAACCAGCAAGGGATAGTACTATATTTCTTAAATAAGTCACTTAGTGATGAAATGGTCAATTCTTTATGGGTGTTATTCCAGGAAAACAAAGCTGATCTATTTCAAAGTAAGATATTGTGTCTTGAGAGTCCAAAAGGTGCTATGTTCAAACATATGAAAGATAATGCCTTCTGGCTCTCAACAGATGATATCTCTTGTACTTTTGTTAAGCATATCTTATTTTGCTGCAAATAATCTTACATCAGTAATTTTCTTTCCTGCATGTATATTTCTGCATTATTTTGGGGAACTATTTAAATGGGAGAATTCAGACCATGTGGTAATCAGCGATTCCTCATTTAAAGTTACATAGCTAAATATGACTCCTTTATATGAATACTTTATGGAAGATTCAATGAGCATCTGCAGTATAATTTCATTAGTTTCTTTGTTGGCTTCAAGCATTTTAATTATCCAGCATATAGCCACAAATCCATGTTCATAAGAAAGAAAAATAAAATCAATGCCTGTTCATGTAAATGAAACTACATTGGTTTAATATGTAGAACCTACATTGTATGTTGATGTGCAAGATGACATCATAGAGGGAAAAAAATAGAGACCGATTTATATGCATCTGTACATGGGTTTACTTCAGTAAATAAAAACAAATAAGGATGAACTTACCCATCCCCTTTTCAGTATTCTTGTTTTTTTATGTATTTTCTTCAATGTCCTTTTGATTTAGACTTTGTTTGCCAACACACAGACAATATCTACAATTATCTACATGTGCATTGTTTAGGTTTAGATATCCCCCCTTGTTTATATTACTTTCCCAATCGGTATGGATTGGTTTTGTATCATACCAAGTTTACCCATCTCATATGAAAGGGCAAGTCCAAACCATTTGCAAGTTGAATTGAACAAATAGAAACAAAAACAAAACAAAAAACGTTGAGAAAATTGAAAAATTTGATTTTACAACAAAGATATTTATTTCATATGTTCATATTGGAAGAAATGAATGAACATAGGCCTCAGAAGCATTAGCACTAAGACAATGTATGCCATGTACGAGTCGTACATCTGAATGAAACAGAAACACATTTACATGTGTATATACAGAACCAGAATAACTTACATATCTGACAGCACAGAACATGAGAAAGTGGGTAGAAAACTATAAGGTCATCCCTTGTGTTTTCATTGTAAGGTATAGTTGTCACTATTACGTAGGGACTGGAAAAAAACATCAACAACAACAATACATGACCATCAGAGATGAATCTTGAGAATTCTCAAAACGAAAGTGAAACAAGGGGGTCTATTCGGAATTGAAATATATTGCACATAACCTGGATAACAATGGCATGCTCACTGTAATTTCACTGAAATTGCTTGTGCAGATTTGAACAAATAAAACATAATATTATCGATGGAGAAATCACAGGCAACAGATATACTTAGGAAGTTGAAAAGGGAAAAGAATATCTTTTGCTGTATTTCAAAAAGTAGTTCATCAAATACGCTAATGATAACTGGTGACCTTTTCCCAAATTACTATAGCGTGTGATAAGGGTTACCTATGGGTATGTGGCTGCTCACTGATATTGATTTTCTCTTTTCAAAACTAGTGATAAAAAATTTACCAGTCTAAGATTCATCTCTGTCCCATTGTAAGCCATGCTACACTCAGCTCCAATGACACAGCATGAAAACACATCTAGATGATGAGGCAAATCTTATTTGGAAACTAATACCATGAATAGCATATGAAGAACCTACTTGTACTTTGGAATGGATACGTGCAAATTATACATACATTAGAGGCATTTTTAGAATGAATTGAGATCTCCAGTCCCATTTGGTGACAAAAATAATGATGCAACTTTGGTTCAATTCAGCCTCTACACAAGTTGTACGTTTGTTCTGCTAGGCTCTAAACTTCCATTAAAACAAAAATATCTGATCTGACTTCTTTGCTTGCCCTGAGCTACCCCGCCCATGATGTCATTTATCCAGGATGATTGGCACTTGGATAGGATCTACCTGGGCCCTGTCTTAAAAAGAGCTGTAATTGATCCAAATCAATTGCAAGACTTCTTATCAGTCGCAAGTTTGAAGTCTCCTATCTCGTATGTACATAGTTGCGATCAATATCAACTGTTCATAAGATGGAGCCCTGAACTTTGATGAATTCTCAAATTTTACCCACAAACTAAGGAGCAAAGAAACTACTTGCGACAATTCAGAAATAACCTCGGATTAATCAAGCCTCTTCATAAAACAGGCAGGACCCAGGGCTTACAAATAATAAACACAAATTGGGAATAGTAAAATGACCTTATTATAATGAAAGTTGCTAACACTTCTTTAGAAGACCTACCACGGTACCGTATATGCTTGTAGACAAGCAACGAGTGGATCTATGGCTTGAACCACTACACCACAGATTTAGTAATGCCTTCCAAAGAGCACTAGCTCATTGACATGTTTTAAACCTGTGTTATGAGATCCCTGCTCTACCACTTAGCCTCCTTTTATGATCTTATCCTTCAGTAAGGGCAACAATAGAAATTACATGGTAAACAAAAATATATAGTTCCTACTCAACAAATTGTTTGGGAATGTGATTTGCTTTTCATTTTGATTTGACAATTATTCTGGATTTCATCCAGGCACCTCTTAGAGGTATGCATGCTGCCTGGCTGATTTATAGCATACATGTATTTTGGATCATGAGATGATATGAATAAAAATATAATATTAATAAATCTGACAAACACCTAGACTTTTGATCCTGTCATAGTGAGTTGATGGCACCCATAAGATTGACTGGTCTGTTCTTGTATCTCTTGGAAATGTCACCTGCAATCTGTAAAGACAACAGATAAGCAAACAAATAAACAATAATATCTACATTGAGACTGATAAACAAATTGAAAAAACGAAAGCTAGTGCAATGTAATACTGAAAATCTTTATCAGAGATCCACCTTTCCCTCTCGCTTCCAATCTTAAAATAGCCACCAAAAAAAAATTCATGACAACTGATAATTATGGACAAATTATATATGGATGGAAATATTTTCTCTTGAAAAACATGAATAATTTGCTGAAAAATCATATAGATATCATGGAAAGGCGTAAAATGCAATTTTGTGGCTAGCTGTGTCTTGCATGTGACGTCACAAATCTTGACACTCTACGGAGGACCGCTGAAGGCAGAAAATCTGGATCCCAAAATTAACATTTTTGAGAAATGATTACTGCGGGCCCCAAACATATTTTGAAGAGGGAAGTCGTTATATTTGATCAGTGAGGCTTCCTCTTCGCAATAATACGAATTTTGCATCAATCCAAAATACTTTTGATTCTTCGGGTGACTACTTTAAACAATACCAAAGCTATGACTGTGTGTGATATCCACATAATAAACTTTATCAACAATATATTTCTAAAACTTCTTTGTTTAGGTTTTGCATGGAAAAAAAAGGCAAAATATTTGGCATTTTTTACACAAAAAGTCAGTCCTGTACATGTGCTGTCCTCTGTTCATTACAATAATCTGGAATTTGGCAAGGATGAATGAAGTGTATAAAAATCTTTGTGATTTGAATCATGCACCTAAAAATATGTGAAGTCATTCTCTGATAAATAATATCTTAGATTTGAAAAAGATTATTAAAACAAAAGTTATCAATGAAAATGAAAATTCCTAAATGGTGTATCAAGAAATCATGTCATGAAATAGTAAAAGTTAAAAATGAGGGAGAAACATAACTTCTCATAAAAAAATGCAGAATTCCAGGTTTCTATTAATTCACTGGATATTTGAACAGTATTCAACATTAGCTTAACTACTACAGAATTATACCTGTTTCTGTAACTCCCTTGTTCGTCCAACCAAGGCATCTACCCTAGGCTCAAGCTTAGTCTGGTCTTCCAGACAGTCCAATCGTTTTTGTTTCACAGCTTCTCTTGAGGCTAACATCTTCTCTTCAAGGGAAACCTTCTGCTTGAGAGAGTCCGCCAGTCTGTCTACATATCTGGAAGATGCAAATTAGAGATAATCAAAAGTGTTACAGAGAAGATACTCTCAGAATGGATAAAGGGAAACAAAGCATGGCAGCTGGGTGAACAAAAGTTCTATCAGAAATGTGTTTTGACGATTTGACATAAATTAAAAACTAATGAACAATACAATAACTTGTACACCTTCCTAGGGAAATTGGTTGAACTGAAGATGATGTACAGGGTGATTCTCATTATTAAGGATGAAAGGCTGCTGAACATTATCATTAAATACTTTGGCATCAGCTACATCAAGTCATTCCAACCAAGCATATTTGCTCCTAGAAACAACCAAAGGCAAAATACAACCATTTAAACATTGAAATCAATTGCAACGTAAACGACTTCTTACATTGCCAAATTCAACATTTGGTGGTGATTTACAGTGATTTGCCAAAAATTCAAATGAAAAAGGTGATTTTTTATTTGCCAGTCGGGCAACAAAGGAACGAGTTTTGAGTCAGCAATGAAGATTTTAAAGTGGCATTTGGGCAATTGTCAAGTTTGAGACCTGTCACCTATCTGTGTACTATAAGATACAGAAATATAAAGCACCCAGTATTTGTGTCAATTTATTTGCCACGTTTTCGACCAGTTTCTTTTTTTAGGCAGCTCACCATATCATGCTTTGAAGTATAAAATGATCATATCTGCTAACCTTCAAATGCAGTAATTAGTACTCTCCCACGTCAAAATCACGAATACGGAGCATTTGAACTGCTTTTATAAAGAAGTTTTCAGAAAATGAGAGGAATATAGGGCTCATAACACTATTTTAAGGGCAGCAAATTAGGAATCATTCCTCCAACATAGGGATGGTTGGCAGCTATGAATGATACATACTTTGGAGATCCTATGAGAAGGAAGAGATGCTGCATTCTCGTCTCTGTCAGTCGGTTGTAGATCTCATCCACCTGGGCCAGCATGGTGGTGATGTAATGGAGTGTCTTCGTCTTGACTACAGTGGGCGCTGTTTGGAACTGGTTGAAGGTAAGAACATCTGTATCTCCCTCCATCTCTACCTTGCGCTGCCCTAGAAATGCTTGTAGCTAAAAGCAAAAGAGACCACGGTGAGACATGCATCGGTTTCCATGCTTTTCTCTGGCAAAAATTATGCCATAAAATTGTAATTTATGTTAAAAATATAAAGTCTGGAGACAAACTGATAGTGATATGTTATCTGTCCATATAGGACCCATGCAGAAATGTAATTGATATATTTTCATTTTTATGAAAGATTAGTGATATGGCAACTAGCAAGTATTTTGAAATTAGAAAAAAAAAACCTTGGTAAACATGAATTCCACTAAAATATTGGAGAGAAATTACTCATAATGTAAACATAAAATTTAACTTAATTTGTTAAGCATTTATTAAGCATGTGCTATTTAAAGAACATATAACACGCAAAATAACTTGCCAGTCTGAATAATGAAGTGAAATTAACAGTAATAGAATAGAATCTTTTTTGCTATCATTCTCATTGTAACGTACAATAGGCATAGTGTTACTAGACAATAAAGGGGAAATGATTCCCAGCACTAGAACTAACAACAAATGCACAACACAATTTTTTGGGGGTTCAAATTCTTCATACATTATATTACGTTTTCATACATATTTTCTACTCATAGAGCATAGAGATCTTAAACATATTGTATCACCATGTCTTCTCTTTTCATTGCTGATCAATATACATGGACTAAAATACATCTCAACACGTTCTTACCTCTAGGACTTCATTGATGAACTGGTTTCTAGTTGGGATGTGCTCGAACAGACATAGAGCATCATTACCACGAGCCACACCCTCCTCACCTTCAGTTGTTATACTGTCATTAATCTGAGATAAGAATAGAAAAACACTTCATCAGCATCTATCAATAACAATTTTATCTAATATATTTCAGTAGCCTCACTTGTAATGTTTTAATAACATCACATACTATACACAAATGAAACGTGTTAATTTCACCTTTACATTACAAATAAAAGATAAACGTTTCCAGTAAGGGCCACGACAAACATAATAATGCTCTTTATATTCTCTCACAATTCTGACATCCCTAACAAATCTCTGAAACACAAATGTATAAAAGCACCACAAGTTTCTTAGCAGTACAAATCAAAATATGAAATGGTATGATATCTAAGAACAGATACTAGTTTCCATGTCCTGTTATCGACTGTTTTGCAATTTATTTAAGTCCAAGAGGTTAATAAACATAAATATATAACACATGTGCATTGCGGCATGAGTATCACAACATCTAATCATAGCATCATTCTGCAACTGCAATTTAATTTCTAGCAAAACCAAAGATTCCATCGCTCTGGAATCAGGTGAGGTTCAGCTTCTCTGAAGTGATTTACAGAGTGACAGATGTAGCAAACATATAAGCAAAGGCCCTTATAAAAATATAATGAATCTAAATTATGTACCTCTATATCGAAGTCTATAGTTTCAGCACCTTCATTCTCTATTGAAATTCCTAAATCACCAAAGTCTATCTCTCCTGTGTCCAGTTCAATGCCACTGAAATCAATCTAGTAAAAGAAACAACACAAATGATAATAAATATATGTCATATTAAGGATACTAATACATCATCATCTCAAGATAGCAGAATAAATAAATCATTGTTTGCGTGAAAATTAATTATATTCACTGTTTTAACATGGAAGGCCGAGACATTTTCCCTGAAGTATCCAAGTTATTAAAGTATTCTGCTTTTCTATCTAGTTATTCACTTTGGGTAGAATATTGAAACTATCAATTGGAAAGAAAAAAGATTAAGTGGATTCTCGTCTGTCACATCTTGATGCTCCTTGGGCTCTAAATCCTATCATACTAGTTATAGCAAATCAGTGAAATATGTAATGCTCTATGTATCAGGTACCCGTATAAACCTGGATGGAGCGTGGCAAAGGTAGATTAATACATTGCCAAATGAAATTAGTACCTGACTGGGATCTGAGCCTAAACGTCTGGACTGAAAGTGACATAAAGAAATCACATTACTAGGAATTTTCAAAAGCAAAATGTTCATCTTTGCTCTCAGTCACTCTCAGTCACTCTCTCTCTCTCTGTCTCTCTCTGTCTCTCTCCTCCTCCTCTCCTCTCCTCTCCTCTCCTCTCCTCTCCTCTCCTCTCCCCTCCCCTCCCCTCCCCTCCTCTCCTCTCCTCTCCTCTCCTCTCCTCTCCTCTCCTCTCCTCTCCTCTCCTCTCCTCTCCTCTCCTCTCCTCTCCTCTCTTCTCTTCTCTTCTCACCTCATCTTCTTGGGTTTCTTCCTCTTCTTCCAGGAAGCTTAGTTTGACCTCCTCAACCCTGTCTGGTACCTTCCCTGTCCTCCATTGATACACCCTTGTGTTCCCATGCTGCGTAAGGAACTTCAGCAATGGACACACATCTCCAATGCTTTCCTCATCACTGAAACATATTCATAAAGGGATGTAATAAGATAAAATTCTGCTTTTCATTTTCTTCTGCAGTAAAAAGGGTGAGGCATACTCTGCAAACTTATACCAAAAACAAAAAAAATCTTTATGAACTCCATCAAAAGTATGTGGTACATAATTAGCTCCATATTTTTCTTTGTACTCTCAAGTATACTAAGTAAGTGCAAAAGGTGATTACTAAATGTAAATGACAGTTGTATACTACATCACACCCCAGGGATATTAGTTGGGTTAATAAAAAATAGTGCATCAAAAACTAAAATAAAAGAGTTATAAGGGCATTTATTTATCAGGGAGGAGCCTTGAAACTGGCAACACTAATACCATGAAAAATTCCTTAGTGTCCATCTTGTAAGAACACTAAACATCCCATAATCGTTCATCTATTTCAATAAACTCATATACATTACTTACCTTCCACTGACAAACTGGACAAACGCCTGATAAAACTCGACGACCTCACTCAGTTTCCTAGCCTGTTCTTCTATTGACCTGTACGTCTGAGGGAGCTCTGAAACCAGTCCTAGCAATTCTGATCGGATCTTTTCTCCCTATGGATCAGGCAAGCAAAGTCACATAAAAATTAAATGTCCTCAAAAAAGTTGAATACTGTAAACTAGAAACATTAGCGTACATGAAATGTTTATGCCAAAAGACAACTGAGTTACAACTGACACCAAACAGAATTTTATAAATTCACAATTTGTGCCATTTGTGCAATTCACAATTTTTTTATTGCTAAGAAAATGGCCGTTTACCACTCTGCAAAGGGTCATGTCACAAAAATGTACAGGTTTACATTATTCATCACTAAACCACAACTAGATAGATGCTTCACATTAGTGCTGTAAGTCAGACGCTATGTTCGTGTTCGGTTCGGTTCGGCAGAGTTCGGCAATTTTTCACCCGAACTTGGTTCGGTTCGGGGTTCGGTAATATAATATAATAGCAAGCAGCATTATATAGCCACGGCGGTCGGCACTGGGCAGGCCGCAAGCACAGCCGGGCCCGACCAGCATGGAGGACTTCTGCACACTGCTTCCGACCAGCACGAATTTCACATTAAAAAACTGCTCTAAACGTAATTATTTGCAAAGAAAAATACTACTTAGATTCGTATTTCCGTCTTGAATCATGTTTTATTTTCAATTTTAAGAATCATGTTTTCAATTTGTCAATAAATGATATTTTTTAAAGATTTTCCGAGACGGTTTTTATCTAATGTTAGAGTCATGAAAGCTGCCATCTTGAACAGAGACTCAGGATCGTCAATAACTGTTTTTTGTAAGTTTTTATTTTCAATAGGAAAAAAATAAAATCCCTATTTTTCCTGGATAAATAAATACCATACTAGAATATATATTTATTTCATTATTTATATTGCAAAATTTGTCTGATATGGTTACAATTCAAATATTATTTTTTGTGTTGAGTGGGTTTGAGCTGAACCTGTTTTGATCACGCACATGTATTCTTGTTCATATGGCTTGCGATCGCGACGTAGCGTGGTCAGGATTTGGGATTTAAATGGCGCCAGTGAAGTTGCGCCCACCACTGGATAGGCATAAATCACAAAGGTGGAAAATAGGAAAAAAGTAAATATAAAATGAGCAATCATGACATGAAAAATTAGGTACAAAATGACAAGTTTATTAGCTTGCAAAAACGTTTACATTTATCTGCCGAACATCCGAACCAGGCCTTTGCGTTCGGTTCGGTTCGGAAGTGCCATGTTCGGTTCGGCTACAGCACTACTTCACATTAACTTTTGATAATTATGTTATCACCGCCTTCAAGCATTAGAAAAGAATATAATATTTCAAGTCATGGAGAGAAAATAAAGTTCAAACTGAATACTGGTAAATATGAATAAATCTATCAATAAGTTCTCATTCCAAATTATCAGGGAAGGAGGTATCACATAGTGGTTTCACACTGTGATAACAAACAGTACATGCGAAAGTATCTCTTTTCTATCCATGCCACATATTTATGACCGCTTCTTCCTTCCACAAAGACTGAACAGTATTTAATGACTGTGGGATATGAACCATGTGCTTCTTAGTGTGGTATAAATCTTCTGATAAAATTGTAATATCCAATTTACATTTCACATTAATGAGGCTGACACAAGACTGACTACAGGCCAAACAAAACAATATAGTCTATATCAGTGGAGTAGTTAATGAGGTGAGACAAGTATAACACAAAGTACAAGGACACATCTATAAACCATGAAAAGCAAACATTTGAAGTGTTTTATTATAATTACCTTTATACCGAGCTGCTTGCATGATTGTTTGTATTCATCTCTAGCTGAGCTTGCACTCTCTGCATAGTCCTTCTCTTTCTTAGAGCATTCCTTGAGATAGAATCAGGGAAGGGAGAGTATATTAATAATAATAATAACTAGAAATATCAATTATTTAGGATCACATAAAACAAAAAGTACTAAAACCCGACCATAGCGCTTACAAAATTACAGAATGTGAGAACAAAACATGAAATATATAGACTCATGAAATAGGTAAATCGCATTACGGTAGAATACTGAGGGGAAAAGTATGATTTAAGGGATCTTTTGAAAGAGGCAATACAGGTTGATTCTTTGATGGAAAGTGGGATATTGTTCCATGTTTTCGAAGAAGCCGCTGTAAACTACTTTTCAGTAGATTAGAGTCTGAGGCATGCATGCATGTACAGGCTATAAACTGAAATCAATTGCTTGTTCATGTATAAACCATGTGATGGTTCTCGCAGAAATTTGAGACTCCAAATTCCAAGACTTTCCATGACCCATTTTTGCCTTTTCCATGACCAGATAAGTACCCTTTAGTTGCGGCATCCATGACTTTAATTTTTTTTAATTTTTTAATGGCTTTCAAGGTTTTTCCATGTCTGTGGAAACCCTGCAAATGACTTTATTTATGGGAAAGTCCAAGTTAAAAATATAGATGAAAAATATTGATTTACTTTGAAAAATCATAATTTCTGCATCAATTTTTTTACAAATGATATTTCTAGAAAAGGCCTGGTGCACGCAATAATTTATTTCGGTGCTCCAATATTTGCTCTGGCAAAATATCTCCAGATTTTAATTTGCCAAAAGTAGAGGGTTAGGGTTGAGGTTACAAATAGTGTCCTGTCTAGGGTGAAATTAGGAATTCCATTAATGTAAGAATTTACCACAAAGCAATTGTCATAGGATCAAGTGTCATTCAACCAAGATATAAATTGCATCAATCAAGGACTTTCAAGCATACGAAGAACTAAACAGGTCCAGCCAAATTTCCTTTAAGCAGCAAGCAAAGGCTACAAAAATAAATGAGGGCATACAGAACTTAAGTGTGACAAATCTGGTAGCAACAGTAATAATCTGTAGAGGGTTATACGCCACTTTGGATATACTATCTGGTATTCATGAAGCACCTCTATCATTACGGTAGTGATTATTCTAAAATGCACAAAGTTGGACTTCTCTGTGTTTAAAAGATCTGTGGATTTTTCAGGGTCATTTGTACAAGTGCTATCTCCCAAGTGGCTTATTGTCCACTGCTTACTGCTGTACTATTTTAATTATATTGAATATCTACTTGGTTAACTGGCAATAGTGGGATATGCCTCATGTGCATTTTTTTTTTTAATAGTACGGTACCACAGTTTTCCACCACTTACTGATTGTAGCTGTTGGCACTTTGCGATCTGTTTCTTCAGAGATGGAACTTCAAATCCCACGTTTCTGATTAGCATGTGAGCTGCTTCTGCAAGATAGATATTGTCTTTCTCATACAGCCTCACAATCTCCTGCCAATCCTGAAGAAAAAAAGAAATATACAAAGAATACAAATGCATTCAAACCTGTTTTAATGACAACCTATATCGAAAAACCACTTGTCTAGTAGAACAACACTGGTTTTTTTCCCACTCAAATGCGTTTCATTAAAACATGTGTTGCAAGAAACCTTCGTATAAAAAACACCTGTCTATAAAGACCATTTCTGCATCTCCCTTACATGATCTTTCTACACAGGTTTGGCTGTGGTATAATAAAAAAAATCTCCATGTTTATCTAGGTAATGCCTACTTGACTCACCACATAAAAAGTTGTAAGATATATTTGGAAACATCACTTGCAAAGAAGAAGGGAAATTACAATTCTGCAAAACAATTTTGTTTTTTCCAAGGGAGAATTCAGTAATCAGAGGGTTAATTTGTAACAACTCACTTTCATGCGCTGAGATGAATAGTAACCAAACATATTCTTGCTACTCTCTTCTGAAACTTTCAGCAGTGCAACAATCCTCAAGCAATGAAAGTAGTTGATATCTGTGAAGGTAAAATAACAAATGTCATCTACTGCAGAGGTATATTGCTACCAAAATACTTATTATAACAAATTGGCATTCAATACATATTCAAATGGGCATCAGGTTCTGCAAAGTGTACTACAAAGTTTGGTGACAATATGAAATATGATACTGATATCAATATCATATTTCATATTATATTCCACATACTAAGAATCTTACTTTACGATTGGTCAAAAGTAAATCATGTGATGAAAGATAGTTCGCCCATAGTTCTCTGAAAAAGTTTGTTACACTGTGTAGATAGGATACTATCTACACTGTGCAACACACTTTCACTGAAGATAGAAGTCCTATCTACATAGTGCAACGCACTTTAATTGTATACGCTGCGTATTGCTCTCCTCTTTAAGCGCTTTTAGTGTTAGTACGCGAAGCCACGCGCGAACTATATGGTCACACCACCATACTGCATGCACCGTTTGCTAGCTGTTAATTGATGACTTGTTGCTCTAAAATGACAGAAAAAGTGAAATGTTTCCGATGTGGAATATAAAGCAAATAATCACCTTTTGGTTTCAGGCGATGGCAAACTATCACTTCCTCGGCGATCTGAATTTATACGCTATCTTTCCTCAGCTTCGCTTCGGAAAGATAGCTACATCCAGATCGCCTCGAAAGTGATAGTTTGTCCCATCACCTTCACCAACGGTAGTTATTTGCTTATTATCATCAAGTCATTAAGGCTACTAAAGAGGGCAAATCTCTGAATCCTTCAGAGATAAACACATACCCAATCATCCTGCCTCTGATTATTTAACTTGTTCACACTATTCTTGTTTGTGTGTAGCTTATGAAATAAAAAGAAGAGCATCTTTTCTGAAACCACCATTTTCAAAATGCTTAATTGTAAACTGGCTACTGGCTAGCATATTATAAAAAAATTAACACATTTATTAACACAATCAACAAATTTCTGTTGCTTCATGGGAAATCATCCAATAGAGTGCCTACTCTTAACTCTAAATATGAAAATTATTGAAAACTCTAAACATTGTTCATATAAAGTTGAAGTTAACTTACATGTTCCAGCCAAGAGCTTTTTAATCTCCTCCACTTCTGGCATATCCTGGATAGCATGATTAATCTTCTCACGTACGACGAGGGCAGCAGACTGCCATTTCAGATTTACATGCCTGCGATCTATCAGCCAGTCTGTTTGTTTTTTGGTAAGGGGGCGGGGGAGGGGAAAATGGTTACAAAAACCATATGTTACCATAAATGCTCTCTTTTTATAATGATTTAAATAATTTGTTATCTGACCTGAAGTGTTGACACGAAAAAAAAGGGGAGAACCGGACAAGTAATAAATATTTAGTTAAATGTCCACCTCTGTTCTGTCAACTTATCTCTAGACTCTAGATCAGGCCTTCTCAACTGGCGGCGCGCGCGCCACTTGTGGCGCTTGCGGTCAGTCGGAGTGGCGCGCGACTGTTGCAACAACAAAACAAAAAACAGAAAAAGAATACATATTTTAGAATTAAATACTCAGCCAAATCAAGAAGTTGCAGTCGAATTTGAGCCCAAAATGCCTGCTTAACAAACAGGAAGAAAGAGGAATTTATCGTTTTTTACGATTTTTAACGAATCTCAACCTAAGGTCTGAACAACAATTAGCTTACGATGGGATACCAATTTCAAAATTGCCAATCTCTGGAAACATCTTGTATTTTTTTGTTTGATTTTCACTCTATTTTGATTTTATTTGACTTTATGTTTATTGCACACAAAAAACTACATATAAATATACCTCCAGTGTAATTGTAACCAGGATTTGTACTTATTTTTTCACATCAATATGAAATTATGATCAGTTATTATATTGTGGAATGAAATGGTGTTAAAAATGCCCCATTTGGGCCTTTAGAAAGCCCTAAATCCACCAGCTTCAGGGGGCTCTGCCCCTTGCTACCCCCCGTTAAGGCTTCGCCCCTAGACCCCACCCATTTTCGGCTCAGTCGCTACGCTCCCTCGCAGCACAGTCAACCATACAGGCTGACACTTCAACTACAAATTCTTTTCGTTTTGACACTTCTTATAAACTAGTTGAGAAGGCCTGCTCTAGATCTATTTTAAACTTGTAACAATTGATATTCTACTTCTACTTCAAAGCCTTTTCAGCAACTAAACAATATCTATCCTTATCATCTATATAAGGCCTCCAAGTGGTACAATAAGTCAGTGTATTCAATATCTTTAGCGCAGTATCCGGATATCACGGATGACTGACCACTATTGTTTTTGTATTGCTCAGTCATCCAGGAACTTCAACTATCGTTATCGATATAACACACACACAAAAAAATCCATATTTACAGAGGTAAGTCAATTTGTTATTTTGCTAGTCAGCCTGATAAAGATAATAATAATATTATATGGCTTTATTTTTGTGTGATACAAGAATATATTGCTCTCGCTATATTATGACAATATTGGACTCGTCTACGTCTCCGACTCGTTCAAAACTTCAATATTGTTGACATAGCTCGAGCAATATATCAGTAGGGGCGCTGGTCCGAGAATGAGGATCGTCCTCATAAACAAGGATATCCTCATAAACGAAGACAAAATGTGTCCTCAAAAATAAGGGTCGTCTGCATTTTCGAGGACGTTTTTTTTCATCGGCGCTCTGGGGGTTTCATGTTACAGAACGGCCCGCTGGCGATGCCAAAAATGGATTCCCCGGGTGTAAAATAACCCTAGATGTCCGTCTACTTTTATGGGTTGTCCGTCTTCCCAAGGATTTATTGCTCATAATGTGAAGGTCTCTGTACAAAGTCAATGTAAATTGCATCAAGAAAATCATTGCAGAATCCGTTTTTTGCATCGCCAATGCGCCGATCAAAAATATGAAACGTCTGCAAAAATGCAGACGGTCCTTATTTTTGAGGACGCATCGGTCAGTGTTAAAGAAGACGATCCTCGTTTATGAAGACGATCCTTATTCTCGGACCAGCGCCCCTACTGATATATATTCTTGTAAGTTGTATCACACTCAAAGCCATTAAAGCCATCCAATATTATATAAATATCGGCTATATCGTCATCCGAGTCACTGGGGACAAACTTGAGACGTACCTTATTTTCCAGCAATCTTTCTAAAGGATTCACGGTTGGGAGGTTGTCAAAGAAATCTATTGTCCATGATGCGAAGCTTCACACAGAACATTTATACACGGGGGATTTCCTTCCACCACACATATTTGTATTGATGCAAAAAATACTGGCTAGGACACTATTTCAAACAACATAATATTCTGTATTCTTATTCTCTTTTCTATCATTCAATATGATAAATAATATGACTCAAAACACTATCAAACTGTCTATATATTCCTCGTGGTGTAAGTCCCCTCCTATGGGAAATTTGATGATCTTAACACGTAAGGGGGACTTACACCACGAGGAATATATAGACAGTTTCATAGTATTTTTTTAGTCAGATTCTTTTGATTTATTGATAAACTATAACAGCGAATATTCTTTTAACATCTCTAGGTAACTTCAATATAATCAAATAAAATGACTCAAAATACTATAAAACTGTCTATATATTCCTCGTGGTGTAAGTCCCCTTTACGTGTTAAGATCATCAAATTTCTCGTAGAAGGGGACTCGGATCACGACTAATATACTCCTCGTGGTGCGAGTCTCCCTCTATGGGAAATTTGATGATCTTAACACGTAAAGGGGACTTACACCACGAGGAATATATAGACAGTTTTATAGTGTTTTTTTAGTCAGATTCTTTTGATTTATTGATAAACTATAACAGCGAATATTCTTTTAACATCTCTAGGTAACTTCAATATAATCAAATAAAATGACTCAAAACACTATAAAACTGTCTATATATTCCTCGTGGTGCAAGTCCCCTTTACGTGTTATGATCATCAAATTTCTCGTAGAAGGGGACTCGGATCACGACTAATATACTCCTCGTGGTGCGAGTCTCCCTCTATGGGAAATTTGATGATCTTAACACGTAAAGGGGACTTACACCACGAGGAATATATAGACAGTTTTATAGTGTTTTTTAGTCAGATTCTTTTGATTTATTGATAAACTATAACAGCGAATATTCTTTTAACATCTCTAGGTAACTTCAATATAATCAAATAAAATGACTCAAAACACTATAAAACTGTCTATATATTCCTCGTGGTGCAAGTCCCCTTTACGTGTTATGATCATCAAATTTCTCGTAGAAGGGGACTCGGATCACGACTAATATACTCCTCGTGGTGCGAGTCTCCCTCTATGGGAAATTTGATGATCTTAACACGTAAGGGGGACTTACACCACGAGGAATATATAGACAGTTTTATAGTGTTTTTTTAGTCAGATTCTTTTGATTTATTGATAAACTATAACAGCGAATATTCTTTTAACATCTCTAGGTAACTGTCTGAAAGTGGCAGTGTGGTCTTGAAGAGGAGGGAAATGAGGGGTATATAATATCAACGGGTTAATTGCCGTATCGTTTTAATTTCGGAGGGGGGACTCGCACCACGAGGAGTATATTAGTCGTGGTGTAAGTCCCCTTCTATGGGAAATTTGATGATTTTAACACGTAAAGGGGACTTACACCACGAGGAATATATAGACAGTTTTATAGTGTTTTTTAGTCAGGTTCTTTTGATTTATTAATAAACTTTAACAGCGGATATTAATTTAACATCTCTAGGTAACTGTCTGAAAGTGGCAGTGTGGTCTTGAAGAGGAGGGAAATGAGGGGTAGATAATATCAACGGGTTAATTGCCGTATCGTATTAATTTCGGAGGGGGGACTCGCACCACGAGGAGTATATTAGTCGTGGTGTAAGTCCCCTTCTATGGGAAATTTGATGATTTTAACACGTAAAGGGGACTTACACCACGAGGAATATATAGACAGTTTTATAGTGTTTTTTAGTCAGGTTCTTTTGATTTATTAATAAACTTTAACAGCGGATATTAATTTAACATCTCTAGGTAACTGTCTGAAAGTGGCAGTGTGGTCTTGAAGAGGAGGGAAATGAGGGGTAGATAATATCAACGGGTTAATTGCCGTCTCGTATTAATTTCGGAGGGGGGACTCGCACCACGAGGAATATATAGACAGTTTAATAGTGTTTTACTTCAATCTTAATAGGCCTACTAGATAAATTGGCTCGACTAAATAAGGCAATAATATCATTTAATAAAATTATAATGAAAGTCATATTTCGTCTTCAATAACCGTTAAAGGCATGATGAAATCAATCAATATAATATTTATTCATTCAGCCTAATTAATGGTTGACTAAATAAATGTGAATTATAGTTTGCTTTATTTAGTGAAGGACTTTTATTAGGTTTACTAGATAAATTGGCTTGACTAAATAAAGCAATAATATAATTTTTAAAAATTATAATGAAAGTAATATTTCGTCTTCAATATCATACAGCCTAATCAGTGCTTGACTAAATAAATGTGAATTATAGTTTGCTTTATTCAGTGAAGGACTTCTAATAGGCATACTAGATAAATTGGCTTGACTAAATAAAGCAATAATAATCATTACAAAAAATTATAATGAAAGTAATATTTCATCTTCAAAGGTACCATTAAACGCGCGCTTTGGTGGAAACAAATTTGGAAGGTAGGACATGTTTTTCAGATTAAAAAGTGTCTGTGGATCCGAGTCCCTGGGGACTTGGATCACGATAATGCCTAAATATCACCATATTATCTTGGTTTTCTAGCTTTACCTAACAATTCAATGCATTGGCATAACTAGTAATAAACTACAATGTAGTTAAATTTGCAATGTCAATGGCAATGTCAAAAGTAGTAACGAATTCACCACAGCACACATATATCATTACATGGGACTACATTTTAACAGTTGCATACCAAGCAGTTTACTCGAGCTGATATCTACCGGTAGATTTTCGATTTGTTTGGCCGTCAACTCTCCATTCTTGGTTCCCTGCATAAAAAATGAAAATAAAATTTATGTAGATTTATTTTTCTTATAGAGTAACTGATGAGAGACGAATAATACTTAGAAAGCCGTTTATATTTACCTGCATGATAGGACCATATGTTGACAACAGTGCACGGAATCCCTAGATATAGCTAGGATGGCTAGGTTAGGTTTAAAAATGTCGCCTCCTGCTCCGGCTGGGTGCCCGAGACACGTGTCGGTCTGTCCAGCTCAAGTCAAAATTATTGGCTGGGATGCCGAGGGACTCATACTCTATGTCAAACATATGCATTTTTTCTTTCTTTGAAAACAAACAAACCACTGAACTCAAACATTTTTTTTTTTTAAATAATAAAAAAAAGTATGAAGAAAAGAATGGGGAAATAAACATTAAAAAAAACTTATGGTTACAAAAAGAACAGAACAAAAATAAATCAAAAGAAGAACAAAAACAGAATCTATTACAAAAACAAAAGCTAAAACTAATTAAAGCTAAAAAAAAAAATCACTGAGACAAAAAAACACAGAAGCAAACACAAAAAACACACCAAAAAAGGACATAAAACGTACATACTTTGAAGAAAAAAATGGAACTACATTTTTTTCTAAACTTCGCTATTCTGTTTTTCTATTTTGTCCTGATTTCATTCAAATGACCCTATATCCAAAAGGTAGAGATAGAGATCAGAAGATACCGTTTTGAATTTTGAGAGGGAGAGGGAAAGAGAGGGAGGGAGGGAGAGAGAGAGAGAGAGAGAGGGAGGGAGGGAGAGATCGAGAGCCTGAGAGAGAGAGAGAGAGAGAGAGACAGAGAGAGACAGAGAGAGGGGGGGGGGGGAGACATAGGGAGAAAACAAGTATAATGATGTACCCCATTGGTATTTCATTAAGTGCCTTCTTTCAAAGTTTCATAACTAAGGCCTAATGTCAAATGCCAGTCATCAACTACTACTGGTAATAGTAGGCCTACTAATATTAGTAATTTGCAAATGAGATTCAATACAGATATCATCTAGTAGCACTGGGCCCTGTTGCATAAAACTTACCAACCAATCAATCATTCATAAACACGCATTACCATTTTTAAAAACTCCTCGCTCTCAGCCCCCTGATGCATTTTGTAACCATCGTTTCTGCTTTTTTATTGCGGTGTAGTAGGCCTAATATATACGGTAATTATTGGCCCATGTTAATCAGTATTGTCAATTTATCAGATTTATTCCGATATACTTCAATTCAGTTTAAAAGCTTAATTTTCTATGTGTATAGTGGTAAACAATCTTAATTTATAAATATGCATGGAGACACTTAAATTACTCACCAATATAGTTAGTGTGGGGGTGGGGTGGGGTGCAGACACGTAGCCACGGGGGGGGGGGCACGTGCCCCCCCCCCCAAAAAAAATCCAGGATCGGTTAAACTTTTGTAGACCCCTTTTTTTAACCTCGATCGATTACAATCATGTATGTGCCCCCCCCCCCCCCCCAAACATCAAACTCTGGCTACGTGCCTGGTGGGGTTGAGAAGATTCATGAATGAAATAACTTGTATGCATGTACACCCCCACACACACACACACACACAAAGAGACCAAGCATAATTTTTACTTTCCATTTCATATACGGTTCGCTTAGAATACAGCCGTTGGCAAGGGGGGGGGGGGAGTGTTAAGCACTATTTTGCAAATTTTTATCAAAGGATGTGTTTATCTTTCATTGGGCCAGAGATCTACACTGGTAGAAGCGATTAAGTGAAGAGTGCATTGGAGATTTTTAAAACGGTCACTATACCGTGAAGGTATAGCATCAATAGACTTGGTGAATTTGATTTGTTAGCATTGGCATATAGCTTCCTCGAACGTGCTCTAAATACAAATTAATTACGTAACATGAGACAATACACACCTATTGAAACAGATTACTAATAAATATCATCATATAACTTTATAGTAAATTGATAATTTAGTGATGGAGCCTTTGTGAAATTTGAACTCGTAATAAACTAAGAGTACTTTTAAACAAAAGGCAAATCACATCCTATTCTTATCATAATCACGATGAACATAATGATTGCGCATATAGCCTTAATGAACATAATAGCTTCTAGCTTAATATAGATTGAGCCTTTTGTCTATACAATGAAGGGGGCAGTGGAACTGATTTGTCCCATACCCTTCTTTCGATATATGTTTTTAAAAATGTTTTTGCCTCGTCCCCTAAAATCTTAAGAAATAATGTTTTTTTTTTTCGTAATAATGAGGTGGAGCGTAGTGACCGAGTGGTAAAATTTAAAGTTCTGAATGTTGAAACTCTGTACAGTATTTTAGAGCATTATAAATCTCTACCATGGTTGTTCTGCAATAATATTGATTAATGTCATATCATTTTGTTTGTATCTTGCTAGGGGCGGCAAAACTAATTGCCCTGTCTTTTTGTAGAGGTAAACACCTTCCCTCAAGGCCTCAACCACTGATTCGGAGCTTTGTGATCGAGGGTTTATTATGGTACAAGAAACACTGTCTTCATTTATTTGCGAGGGAGCGTAACGAACGAGCGAGAAATATTACATTTGCATTTCTAGAGGACGGGAAAATATAGTAGATTGCTTTTCATTAAAATTTATGTCTGTATTCCAGTTACCACGTTGCCAGATATAAGTCAATAAAAAATTGAAATATACGTGCTCAGAAAGTGTTTCAATTCGATCATTTTCACAGTATGGATTCGAGAAAAGCCTCTCGATTGTGCGAAAAGTTTAATGCCAAAGTTTTTTGGTTTACCATGGACCTACTCAGGCGCGGATCCAGGATTTCTAAGGGGTGGGGGCCCAATTTTTTTCCCTTTTTGCTCCCGATAATTTGAAAATCGCGCCGGCCGAAGATTCGCTCAGTGTGGGAGGGGGAGGGGGGGGGGGGGTAGTAGGCACATTTTTTTGTGGGGGGCCCTCGATTATTTGCGCCCCCTCCCCTTTGGGCGCCAGGGGGGGGGGGCCATCTCCCAAAAATTCCCAGGGGGGGGGCCTGGATCCGCCACTGGACCTACTACTTTTTAGTAGGTCCATGGTTTTTACCATAAAGCGCCAAGATATGGCAACGCATTCGATAAAGGCTACATAATTTTCAAGGTCACTCGAATGGTCAGCAGTCTGTCCCGTGCCCCAGGTCAGCTTGGTTCAGATTGGTCACTCACTGGTCACTCACTGCAGCTGTTTAGTCCCTCCTCCCCATAGCTACGAGTAGAAAGGGCTTCAATTTTAGTCGACCCGCACGCAGCCCTCTGAAGATGAAGAAGAAAAGGAAAGAGAGGAACTAGAAGATAAGAAGAAGAAAAAGAAGAAGATTAAAAAAAGATTAAGGAGAAGACTCGGATAGGAGAAGGAGAAGAAACTGAGGAGAAGATAAGAAAAATGAAGAGAAAAAAAGAAGAGAAGGAGGAGGAGATAAAGAAGAAAACAGTACAAAGGAAAAGATTAGGAGAAATTACACAAAAGAAGATGAGAACAAAGAGGAGAAGGAGAAAAAGATAATTCAGAAGAAACATTTCTGGCCCGCCATACAGGCTAGATAGGATTTCTGTCTTCCGCATTTACAAAATAACAGCCTAATTGTTTTATAAAGAACCACGCAATTCGAGTAATATATGAGACAGTTGTATATATTCACGCCAGACCATGTTGTTGAACAGTGTAATTTTGTGGCCAAATTTGACCATAGTGGAGATCACGGTTTTGTACACGTGAAGATGCAGTTGTGGTCAGCTACATGGGTCAACTCCCAGGGTCCAATAGGCAGTGAAGGTATAATTCAATTCATATGCAAAGAATGTCTACATGCATGAGTGGGTGTGCTATTAATATCTTTATCTCGATCGAAGTGTCGAAATCAATAGCAGACCTAGACAGCCAGACAAAGTAAACAGAGTTACATAACACACATTGCTGGACATGGTTGTTATTCGAATCGAACATGGTCACATTTCAATGCATGTGACTTCATGTAATGAATGGTAGGGAATCATTTCCCGGAACCTTGAGGGTATCATGATTAGGAGATTGCATCTCCATTGTGTTCTGAGTTATCACCAAAAAGTGTTACCTTTTCCTTTCTCAAACATTTTAAGGTTGTCCCTCTAAACTCGACCCTATTCTCGCTGATCTCTTTGAGCCACGAAGCTACAAAACAGCGATCGATAACCAGTATCTGGATCTAGCTAGTTTATACCAGTACTTAGAGGGTAGGGAGCTTTATTGCCAGGACCAGTCATTGGGGATGGATTTCTGAATGTGATAGGAGAGTCTGTATTCTTTTCTCATTTCCAGCAATACCTTTCACCATTTTGTCTCTCAATTCTTGTTACCTAATTTGAAATTTGAATTTTGATTGTTTTTTTTCTATATCTTTATTAATCAATCATATTTCTTATTTTGCAATATGCAAAGTTGTGAAATGACTGAATTGCTTGGTTGATTACACCTGGTTGCTTTGAAGTTGAAACTAAAAACAAAACAAAAACAAACAAAGGTTATTCCCCCTTAGTAACAAGAAATTATTCTAAAACTGCAAATACTTATAGGAAGTAATCGGTATCAACTAATAACTTCCCCCATTTTATTTCCCCACTAAATGGCCAGGCTATAAAGACAATGATTTTCCTTATCTGCATTATGGGAGCCCCGAGGCAGCAACTACTAGCATAAAATACAGTACACTGAAAATATATATTCATACATGTTATGAACTGAAATGTAAGTGGTTATTAAATAGAAATTTAAGCCTAATCACTTGAATTTATTTATTAAACTTTTCATGAGATATAGGCCCTTGTTTTTTTGTATAAACAATGATTTCATGTCATATCACTAAATCACATTGTAAAAACAAGATTGAGATAGTAAGTATAACAAGTGCTGGCAAGATAGACCTACAGAATACAGATAAAATAGAACGACTCAATTAAAAAAAAAACTAACAAATCAATTACATCTTCAAAAACTTTAATTCATCAAGGATCAAATCATAATATAATCACAAGCAGAATAGATATGCTGCAAATACTGTAGGAACATAAAAATATCTAAATGTTACAAGAATTAACATAGGATTATATCATTCTTAAACTAACCGAATAAGCTTAACCAGCAAGGTGTATATGTGAATAAAATGGTGGTAAAACAATTAGAACTTTCCATCAAATTGGGGATATATATCATGTACAAATTGTACATGTACTACCTAAACAAAATATCTGAATGTTAAATAAAAATGGGACTCAAATATAGCATCCCCCTTAAATAAATTGTTAAATGTGCCTCTATTGCAATAACTGTAACACATTTAGAAAATATCCTCACCATCTGAATCAAATATAGTCATGTAAATGTTGGGAATAGAATGATGTTAAGATTTGCATCAATGATGAAAATAATGATGAAAACAAAAGGCACTTCATGCATGTGAATTTGTGAAGACATTTACCTAAACAAGTAGGCATACCAGTAAATGCCATAATAACAAAATGGTTGCCTATGCTTATTCTTCTATTCTTTTTCTTTCTTCAAATGTGTTACATTACTGCTAACCAACAGCAAATTAGCATTTTCTTTACATCTAAATCAGATTTTATCAAAGTATTGAACATATTTATAGCAATGTATTAGCAATTTATTTCACGTATGTTGAGACGTGCGAATATAAACATTTTTTTAAATAGAGAATAAGAAACATAGGCACCTTCCGTTACTTCTGTTACATGACATCACTAAGCTTTTATTCAAATAGATACTCATTACTGAAACAAATGTAATATATTTATGAATAACTGAAGTACATGTAATTCCTGAACCAATAACAAAGGTAGGACCTTCCCAAATACATCTCTCCTTTCTTGCTAGTTTCCTTTTCTGCATCATTTATGACCATTGTACATGAATATATTTCCCCATTTCATAATGATTTTTCATGTTAATGTTATTGAAATAAATTGATTTGCATTGAATTTGTTTTATCAAACAGTACAGTATCAACTATCAATACACACTCACATTGTACAGTCTTCACAATAGACAATTAGTATCAGTCTATCAGAGGGGTAATAAGTACATCTGTTGTGAAAAGACTTATGTTGGCATTTCAATTTGGCTTACTGCACATTTACATGTTCACTTATCTTTTTTCAAACATTAATCACCCTTCTATGAGCTTTACATTCAAATATATGCACCTTATCATCTATCAATAAAGCAGATCTGGAGCAATGTTCTCACATGAGGCAGTAAATCATTCAAAAAGGAATTAGAGGAACTAAAACAACTGCAATGGCAAAAATACACACACAAATGTGTAGATGTGTGGTAACAAAGCAATGTTGTGAGGGTGAACAAGAAATAGAGGATGCACTAGCCCCAACAAGTATTAACTGATCTGTGTGTTAGAGTACCGGGTACTATAGAGTATAGACCAGCAACACTCTCAAGTTGTAAAGGAAGGCCATTTTCATAGCAAAAAAAGAAACCTTCGCAAATTGCAAGTATCGATTGTTGTGTCGATCGTGAATGCGGAAGTTTCTGGTTACTGCCATACCAGTTGTCATGATCACTATACATTACTCATTATTTCAATTTTGGCCCTAGCAGTTTATCCCCTCATGTGAGAACATTGCTCAAGACTACACCATTTACATAACTCTCTTCATCACCACCGTATACCTTTCAATGTACTGAAGATATGTTAAGTAATAAAGGTTGTGACCTATAAATTCACTTTTCATCCAGCACATGTTTGAGACCATCAATCAAATATTGCTCTTTAAAGGTCAAAGGCTGAATGCAATCAGACATTGTGACCAGGGAATCCCTACTGTTACTTTCACACATCAGCTAGGTATACGCAACAGGGCATAGACTGAAGTTTGGCTCGAGGTTCTAAACTTCAAGATTATCTTGTAAGTTGTAGTTGAGCAGAGTGCAGACCATTTAAGAAACACAAGGTTTACTCAGTTTCAAACCACCAGTGATCTCCAGGTTACCGTAATGACTGCAAGTTGTTGGAGTCCTCACTTGGATTTCCAAATGTATGTGTTGTGCAAACACAATTACCGGTAACTTGAAGGTGTTCCACAATAATTATCTTGGCTTGTAGATAAAAACCTCAAGCATTCATTTTTGTAGTGCCATGTGAACCCACATTGTTATTTGAAGGTTGTGAATTAGAACTTCATGTGTTTGCAAACTTAAGGATAAATCTACAACAGTGCCATGCTATTTAAACAAGCATGTAGCTTTTACTACATGTACAGAAGAATTAGAGAATATGACTGGTTTCAATGGCACATACAGGTGTACAAGCACATGTACTTGCTGAACAAATAATACATGTATAACCCCCCCCCCCCCCCCCATAAATCTAGGTCTCAATAAAAAGTTACAAGCATTTCCAAATTCATGGGAACACCACTATATATCAGGTGGAAAAGTTCAAAGGAGATAAAACTGATGTTTATGGATCTACAGTTATATGCATTTCATCCTTTACTGTAGCAGGCAAAGAGCAATGTTATAAATCATGTACGTGTGCTAGTCATAAACTCTATTATTTACAGCATGAATGTACACTTCATTTCGATAATGTCACACACATGTGGGCAGGTTAGCTATAAACTACATTTGCATTCTCTAGACTGTGGCAACTCCCAATTTACTCAATGACAAAATGGAAAATTGCCCAATTGTCCATATAATCAATAAAAAGGAATACATGTAGTGATGTCGGCATGAACAACAGCCAAACATTCACCTATTTCTTTTGTAATATATTACAATAGGAAGGTACTTACTCATCAAACCTGATCAAGTTGAAAGATAGAATTCACACCTAAATGTAGGCCCTATGGTCGAAGTTGACTGGTGCAAAATTTCAATTTCTTTTAATTCCAATGCGTTAAAAATTGAGGACAGACAGCCAAAGGAAAATAATTTTGAATTCATATCTTAACTACCATAGGGATTAATCCACTTAACCCATTGCCTACATGAGCCAGGTGGCTCCTGTATAAGTATTCAAGCTGATGGAAATAAAATAATTCAGGTGTCTATGGGCTTAGAAGAAGCTTTATATATAATGTATTGTCGTTGATAACCTAAAACTTTGATGATGATCTCAGATATTGCATTAAAAGTCTAATAAACATCATGCCTATTTCCTGTTGAAGTTTTAAACTTTGCCCTTTCTTTCTCATAGTACGTTCTCATAGTTCTTATAATGGATGATACCTCTGGAGAAGCTTGACAGTGTATACTCTCATACTAGGCACTTGATTGCAGATGTTCCCTGTCAAGTTTTATCAACAGTCACGGATCGATGGTATCCACTGATGTTGAAGATATCAACTATTCCTTGGGGTATTGTCCACATATTCCATTTCCCTGTACGTACGCCATTCCATTGCGGGTAGGGCTTCTTCATGTGATTGCTGTCTTATGCACTTCCCATTAGCAAACGCCAGGCCCTCATACAGGCCTGTCCAGCAGGTTCTGTTTAATACATGAGCATGTCTCTATCTTCATGTTCTTTTTAAAGTCTCTGTTCTGTACATGTATATCACGATGAGTCTACTTGTCTTTCACATGTTTGATTGAGCATGTCGTGTGAAGCCGATGAGCACTGAACATGGACAGACACACCCCTAAGCACAGGATGAACAGAGCTGACCTAGGGGCTGGGATACGTTCATTGCGGGGTGCTGTGTTGCTCACCTGTACAAATGAGATATAACGAGAAATGCATTTATCCAAAAAAAATAATCATGAATTCAAAGAAAACTGTGAATCACGATATACAAAACCTATTCCATATTGCCCTTTTGGTGTACTTCATGTTCACTAAATGACTCAGACATGTAGAACTTCAAATTTCAAGTAGTTATTAAAACTTCATGTATCTGACATACAAAATACATTTGGGCATTAGTTTTAATATCACCAAGTTTCCATCACAGGCATTCAGAACATGACTCACACATCACATGCACCTACAATTTTGTACTGTTTTAGAAGGAATACATTTTTCTGTAAATAACATTTTCCCATTCCTAGCTTGACAGATACAGGTACTACGAAAAACAAAGACACTCCATGATTAAAACTAGATGGAATTTTGACTGCGCGCAGTCGAAAATGATGCCTCCGCCATAGAGCAATTTAAACAAGTTTGGAGTTTAAATCTCCAGTGGTTCTTGAGATATCATGATAACAATATCAATGTATGGAATTTCATAAGTTGACCTCTGTGACCCTTGACCTTTGACCTACGTGCTCCAAAATCTAATCAGATTGTCTTCCTATGGTGATACACACTATCATTAAGTTTGAAGTTTAAATCTCCAGTGGTTCTTGGGATATTATGATATGGTGATACATACTATCATTAAGTTTGAAGTGAAAATTCTCCAGTGGTTCTTGAGATATCGCGATAACAATCTCAATGTATGGAATTTCATAAGTTGACCTCTGTGACCCTTGACCTTTGACCTACGTGCTCCAAAATCTAATCAGATTGTCTTCCTATGGTGATACACACTATCATTAAGTTTGAAGTTTAAATCTCCAGTGGTTCTTGAGATATTATGATAACAATCTCAATGTATGGAATTTCATAAGTTGACCTCTGTGACCCTTGACCTTTGACCTACGTGCTCCACAATCTAATCAGATCGTCTTCCTATGGTGATACATACTATCCTTAAGTTTGAAGTTTTTACATCTCCAGTGGTTCTTGAGATATCATGATAACAATCTCAATGTATGGAATTTCATAAGTTGACCTCTATGACCCTTGACCTTTGACCTACGTGCTCCAAAATGTAATCAGATTGTTTTCCTATAGTGATACACACTATCACTAAGTTTGAAGTTTAAATCTCCAGTGGTTCTTGAGATATCATGATAACAATCTCAATGTATGGAATTTCATAAGTTGACCTCTGTGACCCTTGAACTTTGACATACGTGCTCCAAAATCTAATCAGATCGTCTTCCTATGGTGATACATACTATCCTTAAGTTTGAAGTTTAAATCTCAAATGGTTCTTGAGATATCGCGCTAACAAACTCAATACAAGGAATTTCATAAGTTGACCTCTGTGACCTGTGACCTTTGACCTACGTACTCCAAAATCTAATCAGATCGTCTTCCTATGGTGATAAATACTATTCCCGAGTCTTAAGTTTAAATCTTAAATGGTTCTTGAGATATTGTGATAACGGTCAAACGGGACGGACGTACGGACGTACGGACGGACGTACGGACGGACGTACGGACGTACGGACGTACGGACGTACGGACGGACAACCCGAAAACATGATGCCTCCGGCACCACCTTCGGTGGCGGAGGCATAAAAATGTCCAGATCATCATATCTGAACTTCTTTTTCTTGTGAGAATGAAATTGTTCCTGCTCGAAGTATGATAAGATTTTTGGCACACTTGCTCTCTAGAATATAAGGAATAAGATGAAATCAAACTTTAAGAATCAAGAATACGATAGAAAATTCTTGTCAATTTCTAGTGGAATATTAGATGCCCATACATAGGCTATAGATGCATTGGCGATGTGTATATAGTTAAGTGCCAATACTTACTAGTAAATCTAATGTAACTTTTTGTGTTGCTTCATTTTTTCAAGTCTGAGACTTTTCAAAAATTTCTATCAAGCTTTTTTTTATAGCACACTTTCTATTTCAAATTCATACACAAAACGGTGAGTAGACCTATCCTCAATTAAAAAAACTTTACATACCTGGAGAAATCTACTGGGGAAGAGTCTCCCAGGAATTCTTGAGATGATCATGATGGCTGCCTATGTTTTTCCACAACGTCAGAGGAGAAGGAACCTGCAAATTTCAAAGTCCAGACAAAGAGGAAAAGAAGACAAACATAAATAGTTACTTAGTTAGATAGAACTTAGATCTAGACCCCCGCCCCCCCCCCCCACTCAGTGTTATTTAGGGTACGCATATGCGTGTTCCAACCAACCCCCCCCCCCCCCTTTTCAGCAAAAGTCCGGTGTGTAAAGTCAATACGGTTCGACCTTTTTCTTTTGTATACGAGCCTTTTTCAGCAAAAGTCCGGTGTGTAAAGTCAATACGGGTTGACCTTTTTCTTTTGTTACGAAAGGGACATTTTGGCAACACGCATGGGGTCCGTCCGTTCTCGGAGTGGGGGGGCCGGGTCTAGCACCCAAAATCAGTGTAAAGCAGTCTTCATTTGGAGATACGTTGTACGTTATAAAGAGTAAGCCTACACTGCACTACATGCTCTTTTTCACTCATGATCTGAAACTGAGTAAATAGTACATGCCCTCTCTTACTAATACTATTTTGTAGTAGGTCTAGGCCTACTACAATAGATGCAAAAAAATTCACATCATGACCATCACACTCACAAACAGGTAAACATGGAATTCAGTTCACCATCATGTTCACAGCCGGCCATGACAGCAGTTGTCAGTAACATAAATTGAAAACTCTAAGTAGGGTCCATTGCCTTGGCATTATTAAACTAAAAATTTTGGGGTGACTCGGGAGAATGGGGACCGTACTCCCAGTTACAAACACAGACACACCACAACTCTCACAGGACATCGCAATTGGGTAGGCTTTGAAATATAAAGCCTGTTGGAATTCAGTTGTGGACAGTGAATAATAATGTCACTAGTAAACCGAGACCTACTTTCAACCTTTTCCAATAATTTTCGCTATATTTTCATACCCAAACATAAACTTACTTCGCTGCTCTATATTCAGAGCGTCCTCAAATCCCAATCTCGCACGAAATGTTACACGTAACAGTCCTTAGAATTCGACACAAGCTCTGCCTGAAAACCCGATCGGGCATCGAACATCACAGCTAGTTGCACGCACCGGACCGGGGGAATTAGGCGGCAGACTAGCGCAGCTCGTATTCACGTGTGTGAGTCAAAGCTAGAGCTGTAGATGAGCTTCAAAGATCATCCGGTCGGAGCGTGTACTACGAGTGCAGTGCGCATGCGCAAATTGAGATTGCATAATAAAATGCCAATCTATTATAGCCTGGCTTCCAGGCAAATCCTGAAGAAAAAAATATCATCAAAATGTTGAGAAAAGTCAGTTAAAAAACACAGATGTGCTATCATTAAACCTGAACAGTGGTGTAACATGCGTTTTGTCATGGAAAGGGGTACTGCATCATGGGAGGGGGATGTGCAGGGTCTTTTTACTATCACTTTCCCACTCTATATGTCTCCCCCCCCCTCTCTCTCTCTCTTTTCAATTTCCCCCTTTTTTTTTATTGAGGGCGCTCATCACCATTTCATTCTTTGGTGGTATTTAGTCATTACAGAGGGGCGATTCTTTTTCGGTGACACGACATTTGCTCCTGCGACAATTGCTCCGGGCTTTATTTCGTCTAAGATGTAGGGTTAGGGTTAGGGTTTCAATAGGGTTTTATGTTAGGTTTAGGGTTAGGTTTAGGGTAGGGTATAGTGTTGAATCCAGGGTTGAAGTTAGCCATTCGATTAGTGTATGAAATTTACAGCGGAGCAATTGTCGCCGGAGCAAATGTCATGGAATCTCTTTTTCTTCATACTATCAATCTACCGAGAGGTATAATCACCTTCTCAACAGTATACATATTATAAAATTGATATGCCATATTATAAAGAAATCATGAGATGAAAGAAGAATTTATTTTACAAATGTTTGCTGTTGAGAATTTGTGAAGTAATACTCAATACTTTCTTATATAAACAGTTAACAACTTAATTATTCATATTACCCTTACAAAGTTTTGTTATATTTTAATTATGTGAAAAATTGATTTGTCCTGATTCATGTTTCTTGAGAATTCCGGCATGTGGCATATTAAAGCTTACATCAAGTATTCAACACAACCCTAATGCAACCAATCCACCGATCATTCTTGAGTCACAAAAAAAAAAGAAGAAACATTAAATTTACAAGGGGTATGATTAATTCAGTTGGTAACTGTATTGATCATGACAATTAATTATCTCTTGCTTCTCCCACTCAAATTCAAAACCATGAAAAAATCTTATCAGCCATTCAAATAATTAATCAAATGTTTGTGTAGCTCACTGAAAATAGAATCAGACAATCAAATAATTTATATCACTAAAATTGTTGGAAAAGGAATTGAATGAAACTTTATTGCAATTGAATTTCAGTACAAAAAATACCGGTACACAAGGTACAAGGGAATATTACGTAGTACATGATCATACATCAGAATACAAAAGGGAATACATAAGTCAAAGCATTCTAAATATTTTACATACAAGGCTCTTCTTACAATAAGGTTTCTATGAGTTATTAAAATACCTCACACGACTATTACAAAATATTGATCACAAGACTGTAAACCCCTCTAAGTGTTGGGCTTCTACAAAGATCCCTCCCCCCCCCCCCAATAATTTTTTTTTTTTTAAATCGTGTTTAAAGACAAATATTGAAAAAGAATACAAATTTGTTTTTCTGTTCTAAGCAGAAAACCTAAATTGTGTATTCTTTCATCAATATTCGAAATACTTGCAGAAATGTGTCTTAAATTTAAGTGGAATTTCGCCATCAAACTTTTAGGGCTCTCTGGCATTGCTCAGTGGCTGCCGGGCTCACAATCAATTGGGCAAAAAGAATTTCCATGTTCGGTTTAACTTAAAGGGACTTGGTAACATTGTTCAGATGAGAGATAGTGGTGCTAAGGCAGTGACTTCAATGCTAGATGTACAATTATAGATAATCTGAAAATTTGAGTGAAAACAGACCATTATTCATGGTACAAATTGGAATACTGATCTGATTGATTCCTTAATTCTCCCAACTATATTATTACAATTTAATTACATTTTAGGTGAATGGAAATCGTCACAAAGCAATAAAATTGCTATACATTCCATTCTAGACATTGAAGTGTTGACAGATTTTTTATAGCCTGTTTTATGTCTTTTTTTTCATGGAAAAATGGTTGGGAAAATTCAAAAATGGTTGGGAGAATTTACTGTTAAAGAGAAGGTTGAGTTCTGGGAAGAGGTAAAAAATGATTTGTGAGCGTTAACATTGTTATTATGCAAGGGTGGAAGAACATCAGATTAAACATGTTCCCTGAAAAGCATGGCTCTTCAAATGCCTTCGTATTCTAAATATGACATGAAACATCGTAAAAATCGGGGGGGGGGGGGGGGGTAGGTTTTTTTGCCATGTGCTCGTGTAGTCCCATATACATCATTCTGTGTACAGTGCATGTAACTTTGCCAAGATTTTGCCAAATTTCTTATCATTTTGATGATTCCAGAACCTTGCAATCATGGGTGTCGATCCGTAACTGATACCTATTCATCAGGGGGGGGGGGGGGATGATCTATTCATTCATCCCCCCCTGATGAATAGGTATTACGTAAGATTAGCAAAATAATTAATACTTACTAGATGATCAACCTTTTCTGATAGATTCCACACCGTTTCTTTCACAATGCAATCACACGACCATGCAGAACTCAACTTTATCTTTAATCACTGATGGAAGGTGTCATACATCGACTCCAGGGCTCAAATTAATTTTTTGTCCACGGGGGCTCTTCCCCCGAAAAAAGAGCCCCCGTGAGCCTTCTCACGGGGGCTCTTTTATTACTGACGGGGGCTCTTTTTATACAAATATCCATTTAATTGGTACCTATGATACTCCTCAATTATTTGCTATTTCATCATTATCATTTCAATCAGCATTTTCCCTCTTACAAATTTACAAGCTACATAGCTGCTACTTGCCTGTGTATATAATATATACGCATACAACACTGATCTTTATGATGTCTTTAAAGGTAAAGACCAGTATTGGTAACGCCCCAATTTCAAAAAATGAAATGGAAGCTCTCATTACCAATCATGTGAAAGAATATGTTTTGACTAATACATGATGATAAAAAATTTGCCGGGAAACCGCCTACTAATTCATATATTTGGTAAATTTATTTCTCTCATGGTCGTGTGAGAGAGATAGGGTAGTCCCATATACATCTTTCTGTGTATAGTGCTTGTAACTTTACGAAGAATGGGCCAAATTTCTTATCATTTTGATGATTCCAGAACCTTGCAGATGCTAGATGCTAGATGATCAACCTTTTCTGATCGATTCCACAACGTTTCTTTCACAATGCAATCGCATGACCATTACTGGTCTTTACCTTTAACGTGACATATCTTCTTCTCCCCTTGCAAACGAAAAAGAAAACATGGTCATTAAAAGGGATTAAGCGACAAATAATGATTGTGATTCAAATTGATGCGAATATTTGTTTGAATAAGCACTGCTATTCACCCGAATCTTCTTTGTAAAAACAACTTTTACAAATCTCAGCTATGCTTACTGAGTTGAGACGTTCCATTCAATTTAAAATACCCATTACATAATACACTTCCAGGCGCGGATCCAGGATTTCTTAGGGGGGGGGGGCCCACTTTTTTTTTTTGGTCCGAAAAAAAAAATCGTAACGACTCAGCCAGCCGCTAAATAAGCGGGGGGGGGGGGGGGGGAGGGGGGAGGGGGGGGGGAAGAGGACACTTTTTTTTTTTTTTGGTCTCGAAATTTGAAAATTTGACATTTTTGTCCAAAAAAAATCACAGAAAAGGGGGGGGGGGGGTTTGCTCCAAAATACACACATAAAAAACCTAAGGGGGAGGGTCAACCCCCTCCCCCCTTCCGTACGTGCCTACTCGTCTGAAAGTAGTTTTTCCCCTCCCGCGCGAAGCGCGGAAGCTTTTACGTTTCATTAAATCATTAGAAAAAGAAGACGATTCGTTGTACAGTTTTTTACTCTTAATCCTCGTCTTAATTCATCCCCCTCTCCAGCGCAAAGCTTAGAAGCTTTTACGTTTTATTAAATCATTAGAGAAAGAAGACGATTCGTTGTACCGTTCTCGACTCTTAATCCTCATCTGAATTCAGTTTTCCCCTCCTCCCTCCCACGCGAAGCGCGGAAGCTTGTACGTTTCATTAAATCATTAGAGAAAGAAGACGATTCGTTGTACCGTTCTTGAAAATAATCCTCGTCTGAATACAGCTTTTACGTTTCATTAAATCATTAGCAAAATAAGACGATTTGTTGTACCGTTATGACTTTTAATCCTTGTCTAAATTCAGTTCCCCCCCCCCCCTCCCACGCGAAGCGCGGAAGCTTTTACGTTTCATTAAATTATTAAAGAAAGAAGACGATTCGTTGTACCGTTCTCGACTCTTAATCCTTGTCTGAATTTCAAATATGTTCTTTGTCTATTCCCTTTTCTTCCTACATCCTCTTCCTTTACACTCCTCTCTTTTTTGGCCGGCGTTTATTGGGGGACCACCCCCACCGCCCCCCTGGCTACGCGCCTGCTGTCAGATGAACATAATTATGTTGATACCTTGTCCGCCCCGGAAGCTCAGTGGTTTAAGGTTTTAATTTACGGTCAGATTAGCATTCAGGGGTCCGCCTTAGCGCCCTAGAGGGGGTCCAGGGGGCAGAGCCCCGGAAGTTCAGGAGTTTAGGCATTTTATTACGGTAAGATGAGCATTATTTTGATACCTATTTGTTAAAATGGCAGGTCACTAATTGGCTTGGGGTTCAGGGGGCGGAGCCCCGGAATCTCAAGGGTTTTAGGCACTCAATTACGGTCAGATGAGTATCGAGGGGCCCGCCTAAGGGCTCTTGGTTGGGTCCAGGGGGCAGATCCCCCAGAAGCTCAGGGGTTTCAGGCGTTTAATTACGGTCAGATGAGCATTTTTGATACCTTATTATTTGTGACACTAGCAGGACACTATAATTTGGCGTGGGGTCCAGGGGGCAAAGCCCCCAGAAATCAGGGGTTTTAGGCATTAAATGACCGTCATAATATGAGCATCTAAGGGCCCGCCTTAGGGCCCTAGGTGGAATCCAGGGGGCAGAGCCCTTAGGATTTTAGGCATTAATTTTAATCATGGTCAGATGAGCATATTTTGATACCCCATTATAATGTGACACTGGCAGTTAACTATTTTTTCTTTCTCGCTCGCTCTCTTTCTTTCTATTTCTCTTTAATATACTTTTTCAAAGAAAGTGTAGGGGGAGGGGCTCGAGGATCCCGATCCCCGCCGTTCCGCGGGCCCTGATAATGTAGGCATCTCAAGAAGCATTTTCTTGCCTGGCTGTAAATTTAGAAATTTGTTATCTTCCAACAAACGCATGAGGAAAAGTGAGGAAAATTATCTCATTTCAGCATTATTTGTTAACCACCGTTATGGAATTATAAATAAACCACGTTTGAATTCTATTTCTCCAACCCCCCCCCCCCCTCCCCTATCAGTATGCCAGTGCCCCCCCCCCCCCTCCGATCTACACCTTGTTGGCAGGAAAATTGCAACTGATATCCCCCTTCTTTTCTTTTCTTCTTCCTATTTTGTCCTTCCCTTTATCTCCTCTTTATCTTTTTTCTTTCCCTTTCCTTCCTTCTCTTTTATTTTTTTATTGGGGGGGGGGGGGGGGAAGGGGGAGGCAAGTCCTTCTCCCCGATCTCCTTCTTCCCTCTTTTCTTTTCTTCTTCCTCTTCTTTTTTTCCCTTTCTCTCCTCTTTCCCTTTTTTTCCTTCTCTCTCTCTCCTTTTTTTTTTTTTTTTTTTTTTGCGGGGGGGGGGGGGGGGGGCCAAGGCACGCTCGGCCTCCCCCTGGATCCGCGCCTGTACACTTCTCCTAATCTCAAAGTGATCTTACAGCACAGTGGCAGAACTGCATGGCTGAGATTTGTAAAAGTCGTTTTTACAAAGAAGATTCTGGTGAAAAGCATTGCTTATTCAAAAAAATCCTTGCATCAATTTGAATCACAATGATTATTTGTCGCATGGTCCTTTTATTAAATAACCTTGTTTTCTGTTTTGTTTGCAGAGGGAGAAGAAGCTATGTCACGTTAAGAAATCATAAAGATCAGTTGTATTATGCGTATATACATAATGATACCAGAACAAAATGTTGATTATCAGAATGTCATTTTGGAATACCTCTATAAAAATACCACATTGTCTTTAGTCCGTATTATCAGTATCAGTATTAGTATGATCCAATATAAAGCTATTATTCTTTATTTAATTCAGTATAATGCTTTTCCTCAAAAATAGTTTTGCTATTTTTTTAGGGTCGAGACGCTAAGAAATGGTTTCAAATGTACATTACACGAACCCTGAACCATTGCAAAATGATGGTGTTTCTTTCTCTCTCTCTCTCTCTCTCTCTCTTTATTTTAATTATGCATTATCAACTACATATAAAGCAGCAACCAAAAACTTAGGGTTATCTGAGATAGGTGAAAGTAAGAGTTAAAAAGAAAGTCATGCTAAAACGGCGCTTCACTTCCCACCGCCCCCTGTGAGGCGGACGCTCTACTGACTGAGCCAACACTCCGGTCCAGTGGTAGTGGTTGTACAATGTAGTAGTAAAAGAAGTGGTGGTTGTACTATAGTAGTAGTCATTTATGACATTTTTGATAAAATATATATGGGAGAGGTACTTCAAAAGTTGAAAGGTGTTTTAAAAAAAGTTGCCAATATACATGTATATATATATATGCATTTGATCAATTATACCTATACTGAAGGCATCATCAGCCTTTCCTCAAAATTCCACTGATCTGTTCCTCTCATTCTTATGCTTTCATCAAAACTAACTTTGATAGAGTTCCCCTTTAATATAGGAACCACTAGTTTCATGTTAGCAATGGTCTACATGTCACTAAAGTCAAGTAACACTGGTTCATGACCCATCTCCCTTGCAAACTTCATCAGATCCTCAGGCGAGATGGCGGTGGAGGCTGTATTCACCATAGGATGCCCAAACATCTTCTTGTGGCCACCGTTGACTATGTCCGAGTCCAGTATGAACTTCACATCTCCTGCTTTGTCGTTGAAGATGGCAAAAGGGGTGACGCTACCCTGAGTGACCCCTAACTTCTCCTTCAGGATGGACTCGTCAGCAAGTCGAAGCCCTCCTGATGCGCCCACTTTCTTGCACACTGCGTTAAGCTGGATAGGTCTGTCATGAAGGGCGGTGAGGAGGTACAGCCTTTTCTTCTTGTCCTTTACGAAGAGGTTCTTGCAGAATGCCCCTGTTAGGTGCTGAATGTGTGGCATCATAGCCTCCACAGTGAAAACCTGAGAGGCAAGATGGGAGTAGAAATTAACTATGAGAACATTTTGCAAACATCACAAGTTAAAGCAATTTCCTTTTAAATAAGGAAATTCTGGTGAGACAAATTGAGATTGAAAAATCATTTACTACCAGATACATCAAAAATTATCGATATTAAAATATATCTAGGGAAATATTTGTATGTACACGTTTATAAGCTATAATCATTTTTATGACATTGAGCTGTAATTGTAAATGTAAGTTTAAAGGGGCTCATCGTTCAAAACTTGAATATTTGTACCTACCGTTGTTGTCTAAAATATGTTATTATATAGACCTGTGTTTAAAATCATTGCATTAGAAATTTAGAAAATAAATCAATAGAGAAAGCGCAGTTTCTAAAAGTCAATTGAACAAAGTCTTGGTGGAGCAATCTCTTGGAAAAAAAGGAATTATTTTAGTCAAGATGACAATATTAACAACAAGCATTTTTATTTTGAGTTTCCTGGCATTCATACCACCTGACTCTCTTCTAACAAACATCAGACTTTCCCCTTCCCATCCTGGAAGTACATGTATGTACTCAACACCTGTTCACTCTGTCTACTCTGCATTTTTTGATAACTGGTGCAGTAACATGACAATAAACTGCTGTATAATTGGTGTATTATAATTGACAGATTTTATCATTCAGACATTCAGTCTCGTCTAAACACTAAACAGTCAGAATATAGAATAGAAGGTTGAGATGACAAACATAATTTTTTTGTTCAAACTGGAGAGAAAGTCTGAGAGGCCGCAGACAGGTTCTGATTGTAAGTCATAAATGATCGGCGTCTGTCTCACCTCAGGATGTTCTAACGTCTCATGAACGATTCCTAGTCGGTCGAACTCGGCTATCAGCTCTGTCCTTCCCCCTTGACCGTTGGTGGTACTTGCTGCTGGAGTATCTGTGCTCGCCATGTTGAACTTCTGAAACCTAAAACTGAAAGTGTTGTAACGAATTCGAAATACATGCGTTAAAGAATGTAAGGCACCACCGTGGTCGTTTTTGCCATTGTTCCGCCCCAATTACGGCTCTTACCTACATATAGCTGCATTACTACCCTGGCTGTGTATTAAAAGCTGTGCTATATTGATTCTCAATATTTCAAATACCACTGCTTACAGCCTAGTCTAGTCTGATGTCAAAGACCCTATAATCAACAAGTGATGTCTCGTTCTAAAAATACAAGAGGGAAAAAAAAAATAGTTTTGTGCTTTTTTAATCAACAAATGATGTCTCGTTCTAAAAATACCAAAAAAAATAATAGTTTAATATGTATTCATAATCATCATAATGAAAATAATAATAACAACAATGACTAATTATCAATTTTGTACAAAATATAATGACACATTTGACAGTATAAATAATGAATTGAAATTGAATCTCACCAATGATTACAAGTATTTAAACAAAACAGAAAGAAATATAAATGTTATAGGTAGTGGCCCTTTTACTTTGAGAAGTGTCCCTATCTAATAAAAGTACCCCTGTTATTTAATTAGTACCCCCTTTTTACCTTGTGCCATAAGTGCCATGAGTAAAAAAAAGAACAGATAAGTAAATAAAAACTCTAGTAATATACTAACGCGGAATAGAAACATAAGTGAATGGGGTGTAAAGTTAAATAGCAAGTGTATACATTATGTGACAGTATAGAGGAAAGCACTATGAACATAATATAACCGAATATTTGCTGCAATTGTATAAAATAAGCCTCACCCACCTGCAAAGCCACTTGTCGGCCCGTCTTAGTATTAGTCTCAAATTATTTACGATTGATATAAATCGCAACTATATAATAACATTAATTGTATAAGCAATCTTGCGTTGATAGGAGGGCTTGTGATTGATTCGGATGAATCGAAACTCTTTTATAAGAGGGGTCTTTATTATTAAGAAGAAGAAGATGATGAAGATGAAAAACGAAGAAGAAAAACGAGGAGATAAAGAAGAAGAAGAAGAAAAAGAAGCCGATGGTGAACAAGAAGAAGAAGATGAAAGAGGAAGAGGGGTAGAGGAGGAGGAGGACAAGTTGAAGAATAAGAACTCAAACAAAAATCAATAAAATATGCCTCTTTACAGATTAATAATATTAATAATAATAATAATAATAAATCGGTGCTTATAAAGCGCTTTCCACCGAAGTTTCTATTAAAGCAACATGAGATATGCTGATGATACAGGTTTATAGTTCGTTTCATTCGTATTATGGCTGATAGATAGGCCCATGTCAATACAAATCGCTCCGATTTAAGTCTAGTTTCTCATCATCAATGACAAAGACAAATAAAAGTCCTGCTTTTGTCCCAAACTCAGATACTAGTAGGCCTAAAGTCTATATTTTTAATTCAACAAGAGATGCAATTACAAATTAGGCATACCGCTGATTAATATTCAAAATGAAAATGTGATACGTCTTCTTCGATGAATCGTTGAATCCAGTTGTATACCAAGGATTCTCTGGCAGCCGCGTAGCCAGGGGGGCGGTGGGGGCGGTCGCCCCCCCCCCTAAAAAAAAAAGAGAAAGAAGAAAGAAAGAGGACGTAGGAAGAAAAAGGATTAAGAGTCGAGAACGGTACAACGAATTGTCTTCTTTCTCTAATAACTAATGAAACGTCAAAGCTTCTGCGCTTCGCGCTGGAGGGGGGGAAATTTAATTCGGGTAAGGATTAAGACTCGAGAACGGTTCAACGCATCGTCATCTTTCTCTAATAACTTATGAAACGTCAAAGCTTCCGCGCTACGCGCGGAGGAAGGGGAACTTGATTCAAACAAAGTTTAAGAGTCGCGAACGGTACAACGAATCGTCTTCTTTTTCTCTAATAATTTAATGAAAGGTCAATAGAAACTGAATTTAGACAAGGATTAAGAGTCGAGAAAGGCACAACGAATCATCTTCTTTCTCTAATAATTTAATGAAATGTCAATGAATAATGAAACTCCCCCTCCCTGCATCACTCCCAACGGAGCGCGCTTCGCACGTTTCGCGTGCTCACTATCGCCCCCCTAAAATAAAATCATGGCTACGCGCTTGTTCTCTGGCTGTGGGTCATAGACGCCGGAAGTGGGGTGGCAGGCCCCCCCCCCCCAAAAAAAAAAGTGGGGGGCAAAACGCATTTTTGCTCCCCCCCCCCCCAAAAAAAAAAAAAAAAAACGCCCCCCCCCCCTCCCCACCCAAAAAAAAAAAGCAGTAAAGGAGTAAAGATGGTTGTATTTTTAACCCAAAAGAACATAACAATAATAAAGACTTGAATTAAATCATATATAAAATTCCATTCTATTTCCTAAATTTACATTCGGGCGAAAAATATGCTTATTTAGAAGCCTTGGTCATGTCATGGTCTGAGCCCCCTCACTTTTTGAAAAAGTATGTTACAGACAAAAAGAAAGGAAGTGAGAGAGAAAAAAAAAAAGTGACCTGCCAATGTCACAAATGAGGTATCAAAATATGCTCATCTGACCGTAATTAAATGCCTAAAACCCCCGAGCTTCAGGGGCTCTGCCCCCTGGACCCCACCAAGGGCTCATGAGGCGGCCCCTGGATGCTCATCTGACCGTAATTAATACCTAACACCCCTGAGCTTCCGGGGGCTCTGCCCCGTGGACCCCAAAAAGGGCCCTAAGGCGGGCCCTGGATGCTCATCTGACCGTAGTTAAATATTAAGACCTCTGAGCTTCCGGGGCTCTGCCCCCTGGATCACATCAATGGCCTTAAAGAGGGCCCCTGGATGCTCATAATACCGTAATAAAATACCTAAAACCCCTGAGCTTCCGGGGGCTCTCCTCCCTGGACTCTCCGCTAATTAGTGACCTGCTAGTGTCACAAATAAGGTATCTTAATATGCTTATCTGGCCGTAATTTAATGCCTAAACCCCTGAGCTTACGGGGGCTCAGGCCCTTAACCCCCTGCCGAGGCTCAGACCCTGGACCCCAAGCCAATTTACGCTCTACCTGATCGTTAATGCTCCACTTTGAAAAACGTTCCGCGGGGCCTGCATTTAACGTGTAAGAGTGGTGGTGATGCAGATTTTTCTTCTGCCCCCATCCCCTTCCAAACGTTTTTGCTCATTACGTCACTGCCCCTGGAAGGTGAGCCCCTTGGAATGTTTGCCCCCCCCCCCCCCAATCCCAAACTGCTTCCGGCGCGCCTGCTGTGGGGTACTAGTTCGAAAATGCCCTGACAACTAAAAACAAAAAACAAAACAAAACAGAGGAACAAGCAAAAACCAAACAACAAAACAAAGCAAAACAAACAAGCAAACAAACAACAAAAGCAAAATAATGAGAAGAAGGTCAGCACTACCTGAATTGCCCTATCCCCGATTCTCAAAAATCCGCTAAGAGCCAACATAACCATTCTATTGAGTACTTTGTTTAGAGCGCCATCTTGCGATCATGAATCTCCCCTTGCTTGCTCTCTCTCTCTCTCTCTCTCTCTCTCTCTCTATCCCTCCATCTCCTTCTGATAATGAGCCCTATTGAAATCTGAGATGTGCCCATTTTCTTTGACAAATAGCCCTTTTCCTTTCGATAAATGCCCTATTTACCCTATCGGAATCTCATATCATATCTCATATCTTTTAGATAAAGAAGTGCCCCATTCACATCTGATTATTGCCCCTTATCAATTCTGAGAAGTGCCCGTTTTACTTTGGCAAGTGTCCTTTTCCTTTGTAATAATTTCCCCTTCCCCTTTTAATAAGTGCCCTTTCTCTTTTCAATAATAGCCCCTTCCCTTTCTCATAAATGCCCCTTTTCACCTTTGATGGTCAGTGCCTCTTTAACTTTAACATGTGCTTTTTTTCTTTTTCAAAAAGTGTCATTTCCCTTCTAATAAGTGCCCCTTTTTCCTTTCTCCACTGAACATGCGCCCCTAATTTAAAGCGACTAAGAGCAACATTTTTCTTCTATTTCCACCAAAGCTTGTGCATTACGCTCGCTTGCATTTTTAGTTGATATAATTTTGTTACTTATTAAAGGCCTTTTCAGTCTCTTATAAGATGTAATTTTGTTCACTGCGACCTCACAAATCTTACTTTTTTGTTGATGAATCACCTTCTTGCCCTGGGGCGGTGGAGCGTCTTCCAAAGTGTGGGAGGCACCAACAATGAAAGGGCACTTTCTAAAAAAAGGGGCACCTACAAAGGGAAACCTCAAAGAGGATAAGCACCATTAAGACATTGGTAATTTTGGTATATACCCGTACATCGTCATGATTTCGATTACAGTACCAGGGATGACATCAATATTTGTTTCTCTTCTTACGTGGTACAAGATACTGCATACTTGCAGTTGGGTGTGATGTTAGGACTGGTGAGTTCGCAGTGCGAAAAATTACATAGATCTGATAAAGAGCACCCAAAGAAAAAACACTGATGAGTTTTTAACACAATGTCTAGGGAAAATTACATAAAAAGAGGCTCTAAGTCGCTTTGAATTAGGGGCGCATGCTGTGGAAAAAGGAGAAGTGGGTACTCAGGCGCGGATCCAGGATTTCTTAGGGGAGGGGGCCCAACTTTTTTTTTTTTGCTCCCGAAAAATTTGAAAATCGCGCCGGCCGAAAAGTCGCTCAGTGGGGGGGGGGGGGGGGGGGGGGTACAGAGCACAATTTTTTTTTTTTTTTTTTTGCTCCCGAAAATTTGAAAAACGCGCCGGCCAAAAATTCGCTCAGTGGGGGGGGGGGGGGGGGGGGGGGGGGGGGGGGGGGGGGTAGTGAGCACATTTTTTTTTTTTTTGATCCTCAAAAAAATTTCAATTTGCACCCCCCCCCCCTTGAGCGCCAGGGGGGGGCCCCAACCCCCCAAAAAGGTAAAAATCACGTGATTTTACATGATTTTTTTCTCAAGGGGGGGGGTCCGGGCCCCCCGGGCCCCCCCCCTGGATCCGCCACTGTGGGTACTTATCAGAAGGGAAAAGGACAGTTATCAGAAAAGAAAAGGTGCATGTGTCAAAGTGAATAAAAAGGGCAATCGATCATCAGGGGTGAACTGAATGGGGCACTTCACCTGAAGAAGGACACTCAACAAGAATGCAAAGGCACTTGTGAGCATGGTAATTGGGAATCTGTTGAAGGGAAAGGGCACCTACACATTTTAATAGGGGCATTTATCAGATGTAAAAAGGGG